GATCCACGGACCTGAAGCTACCCTCCTTATTCTCTGATGAAATCTGATTGCTTCCAATTTCCAGGGTACTTATTGAGCAACTTTGTTCAGTGCTTGCACTAATTAAACAAGTGTTGCCAAACCCATGATAGTCATACAGTACTGCAATAATTATAATCTTAATGAAGCACTAAACCCTTAAGGGTCACACAGCGCTACTACTGCAACAGAGGAGACATCACTATATTCATGAAGATGCACCAAACTTAAGTCAAGGGAATTGTGATCACCCTTAAATACGTACCTAGACACGTAAGGCTTTGTCAAGGTAAATGAAGCTACAGTGCACTTTCTTAGAACATATTTGATTACCTCACACTCTCCTCCTTCCTTTCCAAGATGACCCCTGCAGGTTTAGTGCCTCTTCATAAATATAACCACATTAATGTAGTAAACCCATAGGAATACTTAAATGTTTAAGGGAAAATAAGGCAATAAGGTTTAATCCAGGGGGAAGGATTTGCAACAACACTTGATCAGTAGTTCCTTCCTGGAGAGGGTTTCAGGGGTCAATGCCCACATGGCTCGGTCTGAGACCAGGCCTCATGGTGGATCAGGGTCTGATCAACCAGGCTGTTACTGCTGGCCGCACACAAGCTGACGTATGAACCACAGCCCGGTTGGTCAGGTACTGACTTGTGCCTGTCCAGTGCCTTCTTAAAGACAGCCAGGGGTCTAATTGGTAATCCCCCCTTTTATATGCTGGGAGGCAATTGAACAGTCTTGGGGCCCTTTGGGCACTTATTGTTGTCTATTAATGTCAGCGTAGTTGCTGATCCTGTGTTATATAGCATAGCATATTAGTATCATCCATGTGCTTTAGATAGTTGATTCCTTGTAGGCCTGTGACTTTGTGTGACGTCACGGGATGCGCATGTGTATGCTCATACCTCTGCCCCGGTCTCACTCGGCGTAGACACCCAGGCGAAGACAGGCAAGGCACTGGGCTCCAGTTCTCATCATCTCAGTCTGACAATATATCGTAACCATCCAACAAGTGTGTCTACCTTCAACCCTTGATATCTCCATTTAAGAACCCCTACAATATTAATGTACTTGTGGCATCAAGGCACATACCCTTGAAGGGTTTTCAAAAAACATTTGAAAGGTTTGTAAAAGATATTTACCTAAGAGGGTATTACAATGCACTAGTTTCTGGTTTCAGTTCTCCAATTTTTTTTTTATACACCTACCAGGGTTCCACTCCAATAGGCACATGTTTGACCATTCCTTTACATAGTTCAGATATTCCTGTAGTCTCCTGCCGTTCCCTGTGAGTAAAGATTCAAAATGGTCACTGGAAGCACCAAACTTACATGCGTCATACAGCACTATGAAAGTACAAAATATAAAAAAAATGGAAAACCCTACCAAAGGCCAAGGGCATCCTGCCACAGCACACACTATGTAATTCCACACAGTGTGCCCAGACACCTTGTTGCACAGTCATACAGTTGGGCAAAGAACATTAGTTAGTACAAATCTGATAAAAAATACATAGCATTTATATGTAATTTTATTTTAATTTTGTCATGAATATTTTATAAGAAAAGTGTTTCCTCTGTACATAATACAGTCAATTATAACTATAGTCAACAATGAAAGCTGTGCATCAGCTACTTCACTACACAGAAAATAAAATAACTATAAAGAAGAATGTACAGTATTTACACACTTTACCCCTTCACTGATGCCAGTGGGCTCTTGATCCAGCAAAATGGAGCCATCTCCACTTCCTTGGATAAATAATAATAATATAATCAAATGAAACACTAAACCTGAAAGGCCTTCCATGGATTAAACCTGACTGCCTCCCAGTCTTCATTCTCCAGGCACCATGTAACCCCTACAGGTTCAGTGCTTCCCCATAAATATAAAAAAAATTATACAAGTTACAACATAAAAATACTAAATTAGTAGAGTATCTGATTTCACAAATTGTCATATTACACAGAAGTCATTGGTCAACACACGTTCTTAAAAATTTTAAATTCTTGTTGACCGAGATTGGCTGCAAATTTTGTTGTCAATAATTATATTAGACAGTGCAGTATCTATTAAGCTTTCCCCATCACTAATTATGCAGTGGAAAACTATTTGGTATTCACTGCAATTACTGCTTATTAAAATTAATTAAAACTGCGCCCATGCACTTGCACACGCACAGGTACACACATGCACATGCGCACACTTACACTCTCTCTCTTCATGTTTCAAACAATATTTAAACTTTGAAGTTGCAGAAAGACTATAGCACTGATCAGCAACACAGCTAGGTCTTTTGATAGAAATTCCCCCCTCCCCACCTCCACTTGAACTTACATCAACCTTCAGTTTGTAATAGTCTAGGCCAGGGAAAAACCCACAGTTACCATATATCATTGGCATCATGTATGATCCCTACAATATCTCAGTGGGATACAATTTAAATTACTATGCAATTAATAGGCAAAAAATTTAACAACTTTTAAGTTTTCAAGTACAAAAGCTTAAAGAGCAGTCACCTTGAAGCTAATGAAAGGCTTTTGATCAAAGGAATTCAAGCTAGCTTAATCTTTGCTTAGATCAAACCCAATTACCATTTTCTCCAGTTACTGTATCATCAACTACAAGTTCGGTGCCTCCCCATAAATATAATACTACATAAATACATAGATCTAGGAGCTACTTGCTGACTAAATTAGAATCTAAAATTTTTAAATAATACTATGTAAAAGATTACCAATTATGCAAATGCAGTCAACTTACAACATACCTCCAGGGAGGTGCCCTCATGCTAGTGTGGGGCTCTTGATCCAGTGAACTGGAATTCTCCCCTTTCATGGATCAAGACTGAATGCCTCCCATTCCCCAGGTGCTAAATGATTCCTATGGATTTAGTGCTTTTTCCCCAATTGAATAAATTAAAAGAAAAAAGCCAGTACACTATACAAAGAACGAATACAGGCTGCAAGTCTCACAAACACGGGAGAAAACCATTGTTTTCCCAGATGAAAAATGGGAAATAAAAATGACTCAAACTCAAAGAATGAAGTGGAGTGATAGACAATGAAGAAAATCCTTGAGAGTTTGGGAAAGCGGCATATGTGGAGCTAACACGGTAAAGTACCTAGGGTTAGTGCTTACCCATGAAAATAACAGCGCAAGCTTAGTTTAAACACAGACAACTGTTGCTAGACTAATACATAATTAAAAGAACTGTACACACACACACAATACAATATACAGTGTTCAGGCAAAAAAAAATCACAAAATTCATAACCACAAATAAAAAAAAAATAACAGTGAAAAAACTAGCAGAACAAAAATACCCAGAGTATTTCTGTGCATTAGTCAATACTAATCAGTACATTATATAAATACAAGAGAATTTTCTAAATAGGTGGGGAACAAATTTCAAAACATCTTGCCTTCCTTTCATTATATATAAATTAGTCAGCCATACAATTAAAAATATTGCTCAAAGTTTTGACAGTATCACTTCTCAGGAAATAAAAGCAGTGACGAATGGCTCAAAGGTTTAGCAATTTTGTAAATGTTAAATAATAATAGTGTGAACAGGGAAACACTTATGAAGGGATTCAGAGAAACGGTTAACTGGATTTAGCATCCTGGAGGTGGGACGCACAGTGCCTGCACTCTGAGGGAGTGGGTGCTAATACTGCAACTTGGGAGGGGTATTTGAACTGTGGTATCAGCACACCTCTGGCAAGACAGTAATGGAGAGTGAGGGTGAAAGCATTTCTTCCTTTCTGAGTCACCTTACCTCAGTAGGAGATAGCTAGTGTGTAAAAAATAACAATCAGAAAACAGCTATCACATCTGTATACAGTATATTAAAAAGCATGCTGTATTTAAAATTTATATCAAAACAAGTAATGAACTAGGAACATGATATAGTACTCATGAAAGAAATACACAAAGCTAATGGCTTACTAAAATTTTTCTGCACAAAAAGCAAGATAATGTCCAAGCAGTAACCCATCCAGTCACTGGCCAAACCTAAAGTGTTTGCTTAACCTGAGTGAGCAATTTGCAAATCATCCTTCAAATGACATTAACAAAGCTACTCTCAAACAATTCCTTCTACAAAGAATAAGAAATTCTGAGGAATTTCTCATTCTTATATCAAAGAGAAATAATATCTACATATCTGCAACTTACTTCATCAGATTATAGATACTAATTAATGTTGCTTCTTTATAAATATACAAAATGCCAAAGCGTGAGCCGAGATATGTGTAATAATAAATTTCGTTAAAACACGAAAACTATACACTATCAAAAGAAACCCCTTTTTTTATTCATATTTCTGTCCTTAAAGCTAACAAAGTTTGTATTGTACTGTAACATGGCTATCTGCTATGGCTATGTGCACACAAATAACCTCTACATAAGGTTATTTGCATATTGTTCTAATCATGGTATTGTGCCTTTGTGTTTTTTATGTTTTTGTATGTATGTATGTATGTATGTATGTATGTAGCAGTAAAATGCAAAATCAGCATTTCCCGTGTCAACGTAAATCTAGCCTTTTATGCTTCCCATCAGGTTTTCATGGAGAAAAGACGGCTCGGTAAAAAGGGGCGATATGACATTGTGGAGCACAAATTTACATACATCAACACCTTTTTGCCATTCTCATTTTATTCAGTGAAGCTCTAAGCAACCAGTGCTCAGTTTTCTACTTTGCTCCAGCAGATTTTACAGAGACAGTCTTGTGAAAAGATGCAAGTCAGCCCATCTGTATGTGATGCAGGTTCCTCACTTGCTCAACATAGCTTAGTAGGAAAAAACAAACAAAAAATAATGTTACCATTGATTTGCAAGACTTTTTTTTTTTATAATATTTCTGTTTTTGTATTTGGTTTAATTTACACTTGCTACCAACTTATGCCTTTTTTTTTTCCTAAAAAAATTATCACTAAGATCATAACTATTGAACATATTCAGCTTACCATTCATTGTTTCTTGAAGCTTTTTAAAATAGGGTATATATTGTCAAAAGTTCATATATCTGACCTCTCACTTTTGCACCTAAAACAAAAAAAAAAATTCAAAGTTAATTTTGAATATGGAAGTATTTAAAATTACAGGAATAGAGAATCTTCAGTACAGTTGGGTGTCCACACATATTTATCACTCTTTATAAGTCATAAGCACTACAACAATTACAGAATTAAAAAATTGAGGTAAACGCTTCACCCAGAGAAGGCCTAGCAATGGGCAATTACAATTTAAGGTATAATACTGCATACTCGTGGTTTAGTCTTCCAACTGTTTTGATACACGGCTTCTACATATTTTGACCCTTGTGTGTGTGACAAAAGTTTTTAAAGGTTACTGTAGTTAGGTTAGGAGGGGCTGTGTCTAGCAAAATATGACTAAAATAAATTGAAACACTAGCTAGTAACCCCCCGCAGGGAGAGTAAGTGGGTTACCATGGGCCACCCAGCCAACAATGCATTACCATGACTAATTCATGAAAACTGAAGAGAGACTATTATTTTCTATTATAATCAAGGGGAAGTGCTAAACCCGTAAGATTATACAGTGCCTGGGAGGGATGTGGAAAAGGGATTCAGGTTTAATTCAGAGAACTGGAGCACAGATCCAATTCCCTAGATCAAGAGCCCCTCACCAGCATCAAGGAACCTTCCTTGAGGGGGATTACTTTCTAGGGTTACACTTAGGAAACACTAATAACAAAACTTCACAAAACAGTCACACAATGTGAGGGTTTACTTAGTTATTCAACATCAAGTGTGGGTGCTGCTGATGCCCAAAATGGGGGACCAGAAAAATACAGGAGTATTGAGGATTGGTTATTTAACTTCCAGCATTATTCGTCTGTTTTGTTCTGTCAGGCACCTTAAATGATAATGCGAAAAAGGAGTGAAAAAAAAAGAGGCCATAAAAAAAAGCCAAGATTGTATGGTGTTGTAAATTCAGTGCACCTTGCTACCTGAAAGAACTGGATAATCCATGAGCTACAGAATAATGTTTATGCTTTCTTTTTTTTTTTTTGCTTCAATCTTGTACCAGTGTTGCCAAAAGATTCTCTTTTCTCGTGTGACAAAACTTACAAAAAAAATTTAAATTTTTCCTTTTAATTTGTTTTCTTTAACACCAGCCATCTCCCACCAAGATAGGGTAACCCAAAAAAGAAGAAACATTTTCACTGTCATTCACTCCATCATTGTCTTGCCAGAGGCACATTGATACTACAGTTCGGATGCCCCCTCCAAAGAGTGTAGACACTACTTCCCACTTTTAGGACTCAAGTCCAACTAACTGATTTCCCTGAATCCCTTCATAAATATTACCTTGCTCACACTCAAACAGCACATCGAGTCATAAAAACCACTTGCCTTCACTCACTCTTATCTAACATCTTCACACATGCCTCTTGACTGTCCAAGCCTCTCGCATACAAAACCTCTCTTAACCCCTCCCTCCAGCCTTTCCTAAGATGACTCCTACCCAGCCTTCCCTCCACTACAGATTTATACACCCTCCAAGTCATCTTATTTTTCTCCCTCCTCTCTAAATGTTCAAACCACTTCAACCCTTCCTCAGCCCTCTGGATAATACTTTAATAACCCCACACCACCTAATCTCCAAGCTATGAAATCTCTGCATTATATTCACACAATACACTGCCCTCAAACACAACATCTCCACTGTATCTAGCCTCCTCCTTCTCACTGCAACATTCACAACCCATGCTTCACACCCATGTAAGAGTGTTAGTACCACTACACTCTCATGCATTTCCCTTTTTGCCACTATGGATAATGTTTTTTGTCTTCACAGATGCCTCAATGCACCACTCATCTTGCCCCTCCCCTTCCTCATCAATACCTTTCCTTTTGCAAACCTGTTTCCCAACAAGTCCACTCTCAAATATATGAACATATTTCACTTCCCTTCATATAGTCGGACTTGAGTCCTGGAAATGGGAAGTACAATGCCTGCACTTTAAAGGAGGGGTTTGGGATATTGGCAGTTTGGAGGGGTATGTTGTGTATCTTTATACGTATATGCTTCTAAACTGTTGTATTCTGAGCACCTCTGCAAAAGCAGTGATAATGTGTGAGTGTGGTGAAAGTGTTGAATGATGATGAAAGTATTTTCTTTTTGGGGATTTTCTTTCTTTTTTGGGTCACCCTGCCTCGGTGGGAGACGACCGACTTGTTGGAAAAAAAAAAAAAAAAAAAAAAAAAATTTCACTTCCTCCATATACTCTCCTTCCAATCTGAAATAAATTAGGTAATGAAAGACTGGATGCTTCCCTCATTGCTCTGCTCTTTCCCATGTTCACTTTTAATTTCCTTTTGTTACATGCCCTTCCAAATTCATCCACTAAGTTTTGCAACTTCTCTTCAGAATCTCCCAAAGGTACAGTGTTATCAGCAAAAAGCATCTGTGACAACTTCCACTTTGTATTAGATTATCGTTTAATTCCACACCTCTCCCCAGCACCCTAGTATTCACTTTTCTTACAACCCCATCTATAAATATGTTAAACAACCATGGTGACATGCATCCCTGTCCAAGGCCTACTTTTACTGGAAAATAATCTCCTTATCTCTTACATACTCTCACCTGAGTCCCACTATCCTCATAAAAACTAAGAAATTCAGGGTAAACTAGTTAGATGGATGAGAATTCTAGAGGGAGGAAAGTACAGTGATTGCACTCTAAAGGATGGACAGACATGTTGTGTTTTGATGAAGAATTAGCACTGTGATGCTTGTACTCTTCTGGAAAGAAAACTAGATACCGAGTGATTGTGAATGTGCTATTTTCATCTTTGGGTTTCCCTATCTTGGTAAGAAAAGGTGAAACTTGAGATCCTGTAGTGTCATTGACACAAGACACTGCAAACTTTCTTATTACACGATCCACAAGAGTATCTGCCAGTTTTACATTTAATTCGCACATTATTTTCTTGCATAGATGAAAATTCCCTAAACAATCATTCAACACCTTCAACAATCTTTTTTTAATTGTGAAAATGAAATGGATAAAAGGAGCTGCCATTATTTTTCACTGAATAACCATTAACTACCCCATCCCAGTGATACAAGGAATTAATTTAATCACTCCAATAAGTAAAATGCTGTAAATGGATTTTTAAAAATGTCTTCCAAGAGAACTAGTAAATTAACCCAAAAGTGTAGCACAACACTTACCTGTAAGTACAACTTTGCCAGATACAAATATAAGAAGTACAATACGAGGTTTCACCATGCGGTAGATAAGACCCGGAAACAATTCAGGCTCATAACTAGAGAAAAGAAGAGGCATTAATAATTTTTATATACAGCAGAATCTCTAATAACATGTGTCCGAGTAACACACTTTTAATATAATATTTTAATATTGCTCCCAAATTTTGTATTGCATAAGAGAATGACTAACACTCTTTAAACTTAGTGTGAAATATGCCATGCCATAATACAGGAGGTCCCCAAATATCAGCACCTGTTTTTGGTGTCCCACGTTTTCATTGGCTTTCAACTGAGCTACTGTTCCACCCGTCGGTGAAAAATAGCTGGTGGGTGGAACATAATGAACAATGGCTCAATTTGAAGTCAGTGAAAATGTGGAACACTGAAAAGAGGGTGCTTGTATATGCAAGGCTGTACATGTCCCCACACCTTCCCTCAAACCTCAGAATAAGAGCAAGGTCACCGTTTGTACGAGTGGCCTAGATTCACTCTTAATGAAACCTCCCATGCCACTGGTTCACCATGTGTATGTGTCCCATACCTTATTCAGCCCTACATTATTCAATTAGTTTTTGATCTTTTCAATCTCATTTCTGGATATTAACCCCTTGACTGTCGCAACCTCAAATCCTGAGGTGTCTCCTGGCGTCGCAAAATTTCAAAAAAATTCTTATGAAAATGATAGAGAATCTTTTCCCGATTGTAATGACACCAAAAGAATGAAATTTGATGGAAAACTGACGGAATTAAGCTCTCACGAAGTCAGCAACCTTGGCGATATTTACGAATCAACAATTTCGCCCACTTTGAGCCCTATTTTCGGCTAATTCTACTGTTCCAGTCGGCCAAAATCATAGCTATTTCTTTAGAACTAAATTTTTTCTATCGATTGAGTACAAGGAACTGCCCATTTACTGATTTCAACTACCCAATAACATGGTCAGAAATTTGCAATTTGGCCAATTTCACGAAAATTTAAAAATACGACAATTTCAAAATAGGGTCCAGAATGAACAATGCAGACATTCTTGGCTCTAAAATAACATTTTCTTTGTTCATCAGTCACGTTTCCAGGCCCCTCTGATATTACTCTTGTTTTCTATTTTGAATTTTTATTCAAACAAAAAGTAGATGATTTACTGCTATGCAGACTGCTGCAATATTGTAATAATTGTATAAATAATGTCAACCCATTCATGACTGCATATTAAAATGGCTACTTCAACATTTATTGGAAAATGACATCATTTGTTTACTTTTGAACATTGGCAAAAATCAAACATTTCCCCTACTTTGAGCTCCATTTCAAGGTTCTTTTCATAGTGAAACCAATCAAAATCACCTCTATTTCTATAATATGTTTTCTATTCTATCAAATGAGACCAAGAAAATGAGAATACAACCATAAATACTATACAAAAATAGACCACAAAAATCAGCATTTTAATTAAAAAAATGGTCGGAGTTTTTTTTCTCATTATGCACTGCGTGCTGCAGGATTGTTTTTATATGGTGCACACTGACCACGCAGACCCATTCTCTCACATGTGGGCCTACCAGCTTTCTCCTGCTTGATTTGAAGCCGCTAGAATTTATGAGTATATATACATGTACGTCAAAAACGGTGGCTCATAAGACGTATATATACGACCACAACAGTCAAAAGGTTAACAAACACTGAATATAATAAAAAGCTTGAGATGTAAGATATACTTAAATATGAATCAAGTGTAAAATTTCCTGCCATGTTGTGGCCCATAAGACACACATCACTATCTCTACATACTTCTATACAAGAGGAATAAGGAAATGATGGAAAGATGAAATTCCTTCATGTCACTTTGCAGTCAACTTTAAAATGAGAAAGTTGTATTTGTCATGTTATAGGCTTGACTGAGGTGCAACTGGTAATTGGGAATTTTGAGCACCACCACAGTGGCACCAGTACTCAGTCCTACCTATTTTCTCTGGAATGAATAACATTAAACTGACTGAACAAGTGGTTTTAACCAGGCTTTAGTATAAGAAAAAGACTACATAATTTCCATCACCTGAACTGAACTAGCTTCTATTTTGTCATACATATATAGTGATTTCTTCTCTAAAACATTTTTCAGACACATTTTAGTGTTCATCAAGAATAATTTTATTATGTTCCTTTACACTAATTTCCAAGATTATCAAGATGTTAGTATTATATTAAGCACACCTGTATGAATACTAACTTTATTATATCATGTTTTCACGGTTATACAAGCCTAGCCTATCCTTACCTACATGCCCTACTATTTGCCACAGTACTGTACTGATCACTATTTTACAAGTTATATTACTTCTTATTTACTCAAAATACATAAACTTTATTAAATTTTCCATTCTAACTTTAATCCCATCCAAAATGCTGAGCAATATATAATGTAATGCATTTGGCAATACACACCAAAACTTTCAAAATTTAATCCTTTCTAAAAAATCATAACTTAAGTTTATCACAATTACTGCAAATGAAGTTTCTTGGTCAACTGTTTGAGTGATCAAGCATACTATGACTCACCTACTGAACTGACTGTGTGTTAGAACAAGGCCTTCCAGTCTGATGGGAAATTTCACATCACAACTGCCCACCATGTTTTGGATCTTGAACTCCAGGAACTTTGCCTGTTGAAACATCAAGACTTCAAGTACAAGCACGAACTGTACATTAATTGTATTTGAAAAAAATTATTAATATACAGTACTGGTTCAAGTAATAACATTAATGATAAACAGCAGTTGCTATCTTAAACCACCTTGATATATCTTAAATGAAGATTATCTATAACACTTGTAACCTATGAAACATTGATCAAAAACAAGCAACAATTAAATAATATCAATATGTATTCATTTAACTGACCATGACTGCCAGTTTCCAGTTAATTTTATTTTTACCATACCATAAAACAAAATACTGATAAAGACACACTGAACTTTTAATGAACTATTTTTGTAACATGTTGGCCGTTTCCCACCGACGCAGGGTGACCCAAAAAAGAAAAAACCCAAAAAATAGTAGGCTGATAGACAGTAACTGCCCAGGAAGCTACTACCTTAATGCCAAGTGAGTGTAAAACAGAAGACTATTTGTTTTACATGATGGTAGGATTGCTGGTGTCTTTTTTTTCTGTCTCACAAACATGCAAGATTTCAGGTACGTCTTGCTACTTCTACTTACACTTAGGTCACACTACACATGCATTTTTTTTTATTATTAACACACTGGCCGATTCCCACCAAGGCAGGGTGGCCCGAAAAAGAAAAACTTTAACCATCATTTACTCCATCACTGTCTTGCCAGAAGGGTGCTTTACACTACAGTTTTTAAACTGCAACATTAACACCCCTCCTTCAGAGTGCAGGCACTGTACTTCCCATCTCCATCTGCAGGCACATGCATGTACACATTTATGTATACACACTCATCTGAGTTTTCTTTGATTTTATCTTAACAGTTCTTGTTCTTGCTGTTTTTCCTTTCATATCCATGGGGAAGTGGAATAAGAATCTTTCCTCAGTAAGTCACGAGTGTTGTAAAAGTTAACTAAAATGCCAGGAGCAATGGGCTAGTAACCCCTTTTCCCATATAGCTTACTAAAAAGAAAAAGATAAACATTTATAACAGTAAAAAATTAAAGATTCACCATAACATTGTCATTTTTATGATGGAATGAGTGTAATGTAACATGTGAACTCAGATTATCAGGCACTGAAATGCACTATAAACTCAATTTTTTATGTTGGTATTTTATTGTTTACAATTAAATTTTTTTTATTAACACACTGGCTATTTCCCAGTAAGGTACAGTGACAAAAAAAAAAAAAAAAAAAAAAGGAAACCATCATCACTCAATATTACTGTCTTGCTAAAGGAGTGCTGACACTACAGTTAAAAAAAAAAAGTGCAACATATCTGTGGAAAATACTGTACACATTTTCCAGAAATACAGTAGTTATATGTAAATAGATGGCCATACTGTTTACCTGGAGACCTGGAGAGAGTTCCGGGGGTCAACGCCCCCGCGGCCCGGTCTGTGACCAGGCCTCCTTAGGTCAGTGTCCCAGGATGCGACCCACACCAGTCGACTAACACCCAGGTACCCATTTTACTGATGGGGAACATAGACAACAGGTGGAAAGAAACACGTCCAATGTTTCTACTCTGGCTGGGAATCGAACCCAGGCCCTCACCGTGTGAAGCGAGAGCGTTAACCACCAGGCCACCAGAAGCTGCGCCTGCGCAGAAGACACTCGCCATGTTTGAACGAGACAGTATCAACTGTTAGTGTAATGGGTAGAATTTTTCGTGCTCTAGAGGTTAAAATGGGCGGACACCTCTCAAATAGGAGGCGAAATTGTTGGATGTGCATTCCTGCATAACTTGAGATATCAGGCGACAGGACAGGACAACTCCATAATTTATGTTTAAATTCTGGCCAGTAAATTTTTCATAAATGTAGGCAAAAGGGGGGTCCTGTACATGACACATTAATCTCCAGTCAAATTGGTGAGTGATTTTAAGATATATTCTTCTGTTATGCAAATGTGTGTATATATAATAATTTTTTAATTTTAATATACAGTCCACAAATTTATATATTTACCAGAATTCCTGGTGATGTATATTTCATTTATAATTAATAGGTCCAGAGCAACTTGTGGATATGACAGTTGTAGGTATCAAAGGGGGACATTTTTTGCAACCTAGGTGTCCCAAATTCCTACTTGTCTAACTGATAAATAATAATTATCTTTGTTCATTTACTGTTATGTACATAATGATACATTCAGATAAATGCAATTTTCCACAATATCTTCAACCTTCCTTCAAAGCGAAGGCACTGTACTTTCCACCTCCAGGACTCAAGTCTGGCTAACCAGTTTCACTGCATCCCTTTATAAATGTCACTATGCTCACACTTCAAGAGCATGTCGCAATTCCTAAATCATTATTATTACATTCATGGGAGTGCTAAATCTGCAGGGGCCATACAGGGTTGGTCGAATGAAGAAAAATAGGTACATGTCAAATTCCTCATACCAAAGAACCCCTCGCGTGAAGGAACTCCCCTTGAGGGGAATTCTTTAGTCAACAAGTAGTACTGTATGAATTAATTTGTAATTTACATAGGCACTCACCAGAAACTGCAAAATCAATATTAATAAGGAATTCTTATTAGGGAGAGATGCTTAAGACAGTTACTAAAGCAATTTAGTCTCCTTTGGAGATAAACTTGTGTAAGAGGTGTGCAAAATTCTTAGCAACTAGTTTACTCTTGCTATTACACAAGAGACACTTTAAAAAGGCTAAAAAACAAACATTCGGATAAGCAAGTAGATAAACTCACAGGAAAGCCCAATTTCTGTACAATTCGAGCATATTTTCTTGCAGCTAATCGGGAGTCGTCTTCACTCTTTGCTCCAGTACACACCATTTTTCCAGAGGAAAATATAAGTGCCGTTGTACGGGGTTCACGAATTCTCATGATTACAGCGGCAAACCGCTTTGGGTTGTATTCTGCATTACGAGCGTGAAGAGCTATTTTCTTAAGGTCCAGTTTACAGTTTAAGTTGACTGTTGAAACAATGTTTCTGGAAAAGGATATACAGAACAAGTAAGAATTCCCTTAGTCATTCAAGGTTAAGAAGCATCACATTCTACATACAGTGGACCCCCGCATAACGATCACCTCCGAATGCGACCAATTATGTAAGTGTATTTATGTAAGTGCGTTTGTACGTGTATGTTTGGGGGTCTGAAATGGACTAATCTACTTCACAATATTCCTTATGGGAACAAATTCGGTCAGTACTGGCACCTGAACATACTTCTGGAGTGAGAAAATATCGTTAACCGGGGGTCCACTGTATTCATATTTTTTTTTATCATCATGCTTTTTCCCCACAAAGGTAGGGTCACCCAAAAATACAAAACATTTGCCATCATTCATTCAACAGCTGTCTAGCCAAAAGTTCACATAATTAAAATTACAATCGGTCCAAGTGACCTTCCAAGTTGCTACTTCATCATCCCTCCTTCAGAATGTAGACACTATATCCCACCTTCAGGACTATCCAGTTTTTCTTAATTCCTTCATAAATGGTATCCTGCTCACACTTCAGCAGAACATCAAATCCACATATTAATGTAGAAAAAATAATCTCACTCCTATAACCGAGAAAGTGAACAACTTCCAAACTACCCACCCTGACTAAATGATTGGCAAGAGGTTACATGCCTACTGATGACTGAAAATTATGCAATCACTGTATTTTCACTAGGTTAATTAGTCTTGTCCATCTACTAGCAGTATGGTGGCAGCAGGCCTCTTGCATTGTTTGAGTGGTAGAGAACTAGTTTCCTGCACTGTCACCATGCATGGAAGGCTAAAGGTCAAATGTTATTTAATTTGTTTAACCCTCATGTACCCCATAACCACTTGCCTTCACTCACTACTATCTAACATGCTCACACATGCCTGTTGGATGTCCAAGTAAAAATTACCAATTTCTGATCACTTTATTGGGTAGTTGAAATAGTTAAATGGGCAGAATGAAAGGTATACTGGTGAAATAGCTAAGAGTTTTATCAACTGGAACAATGGAATTGGCCTAAAACAGGACTCAAAGTGGGAGAAATCTCTGGTTATAAATTTTGCAGAGACTGTTAACTTTGCTAAAACATAATTCCATAAATTTTCCATCAAATTTTGTATTTTTGGAGTTATAATTTTCAGAAAAAGTTTCTTTATCACTGCATACAATTTTTTTTTTTAATTTTTGAACCCTGAGAACAAATTTCAGATCGGAGGTCTGGACCCTGAAAGGGTTAAATACTGCAGTAAAGAGGAGACTGGAGATAATGGATATTAAGCACAGAATTAAGAACACAGAAATTAAATGACGTGGGGTTATGAAAGATATAATAATCTGGAATGGAAGGTAAAAGGGGCTGGGGGTCATCTCAAGAAGAGATGGAGGGAGGGTTTGAAAGAAGTTTTAGGTTGCAGGAACTTGAAATTTCAGTAACAATTTGTAAGCATGTCAGACTGAATTTTGATTTTTGAGGCTCTGATGGTGGTTGGAAGTAGTATCTGAATTCTAGAGGAGGAATAATGATGATGATGAGGCAGTTTGGAGGATCACTGGAATGGAGATTCCTACACAGAAGAGATTCTAAATTGTAACTTTCATTCAGGCTAGTAACAATGAGATGATAAACTGACAACTCGGCATCACAACAGTAGTAAAGAAGAAAAGTGTGTAAAGTCTTAACACAGCTGGTGTTGTGAACATTTTGAGTCACAGCAACATTCCATTCACATCCAAATCCATGAACAAATATTCCCTGCCACCTGTAGCTAGCCAGTTTTTTTTTTTTTTTTTTACAAAAAACATTCTGTACAAACTTAGCTATCTTGCACTCACCCATACCAGATTATTTCATATGTTCACTTTCAATCTCAAGCTATTTCAGGACATGTTATACATACTGTAATTGTGGTATGATGGCTGGATCATTGGAATGTGGAGTCATGGGGGTCATGGGGCCTCCAACTGGTGTAGAAGGTCCTGTAGCAGACCCAAACATGCCAGCACCTACTTGTGATCCACCACCTACTACAGGTGACATCATACTCTGAAACATATAGAATTTAAAAGGAATATAGTTTGTTGTTAAGCTGCAAATGTTAATGCAAATGCAATAGAACTAAGAGGAGGCAGCCTTCTTGCTGTAACATTTAAAGCCCATGTCTCACACCATATAACATTATTGGTAGCACTACACTCCATGAAGTTCTTTGCCTCCCAAGATACCTCAAACACCACTCACTTTTTCAGCCCTTGCTTAATCTGTGGTTCATATCTTTTTTTTTTTAAACCCATCTGCCAACAGATTCACTCCCAGATACTTGAATTTACTTTTTACATAGACCTTCCCTCTAATCTGATATCCAATCTTTCATTGCTTCGAGCTTTTGTTACTTTCATAACCTTGTTCTTTCCTATGTTCTTCAATTTATTTCTTTTACATAATGAAACAAAGGGAGAAAAAAAAACTCTCAAATATTGGGCTCAAAGTAAATTGACTAAAATTAAGGAACTTATACTAGCCATTCCAACTGCTGAAACAATAAACTATCTTCTTGACTAGGATCAAACCTAGCCAGCAAAGTCCCAAACTCTAATGCCCAAGTTAAAGATTACCTCCTTGATAATTACTGCTTGAAGAAAGAACTTGTATAATAAAGCAGAAAATAAAGCCAATACTCCACAATTCATGTATAAGAAAGCTGCTCTTGTGCCATCACCTACAACTGCAGCACTGGTCAATAAATCTACAGAAAAGCAAAACTCTCCCAACATAGTTAAGAGAGCAAGAATAGCAGAAACAGATACCAATAACTACAGGCCAATTTTTAACTTGCCAACATCTAAAAATTTTGAAAAAATAATACAAACAAATGTTTGCATTCATTTTTTTTTTTTTCAACAAGTCGGCCGTCTCCCACCGAGGCAGGGTGACCCAAAAAAGAAAGAAAATCCCCAAAAAGAAAATACTTTCATCATCATTCAACACTTTCACCACACTCACACATTATCACTGTTTTTGCAGAGGTGCTCAGAACACAACAGTTTAGAAGCATATACATATAAAGATACACAACATATCTCTCCGAACTGCTAATATCCCAAACCCCTCCTTTAAAGTGCAGGCATTGTACTTCCCATTTCCAGGACTCAAGCCCGACTATATTCATTCATAACTATATCATTCGTAACTAAACATAATATTCAACCCTTGCATAACTGCTCATCTTTTAAGGAGTAAATTAAGACAATACTGAAGATGATTAGTACAAAGGTCAAACCTTTAATAAAAACAATGATTTACTCTCCATGAACCTTAACAAGTCACTAGATTCTTTTGATAAATCTTGCTCTGAGCAAATCGTTATCTCTGAGTATAGCCATTGCCGTATTTTGTAAGAAAACACATTACTAACCGGGGTATGAGGCTGCATCATACTATGAGGAGTGAAACCACCACTGTAAGCCTGTTGTCCCTGTTGCTGCTGCCCTTGCTGTTGTGACTGTTGCTGCTGGTTGTGTTGCTGTGCTGACTGTTGCTGTTGCTGCTGCTGAGCTGATGGTAGGATCATTTCCTCCTCTCCAGCAGGAGCCAGAGGTGTCCCAATGCTGGGTATGCTGAACCCCGGGGATGGTAGCATGTGATCCATGGTGCCGACTGTGCCAACAACTGTAAGAATAATACCAATTTATGCAGACAAATAAGCATGCATTATATCAAATTCCCAATGGATTCCATGTACAGTATATCTAATTAAAACTTAAGGAAAAAAATACATATCTGTAGCTTTCTACTATCTGAACAGTAAGAAAAAAAATTACTGCACACAAAAACGGTAACTGGCCTCGAACCTAATAAATAAAAAATATTACTAAATTTTATCAGCCTTTTTTACCAATTTGGTTAATGTATGTACTTAGTAAAACTATGAGAATTAAGCATAATACTGCAGAACAGGGGAAATGGCCCACATTAAAGAAAATAAGAACAGATGTCAGACAAAAATGAATTCTAGAATAAAAATTCAACCACAATAATAAAAATGCCATCTATCACGGGATCCAAAAGCTTCACCAGCATCAAGTAACCTCCCTTGAGTGATCCTTAAATTAAATGAGATACTTGGGCAATATTTGGGTATTATGTTCTGAAAACCTTTCGCCAGGCAGCGGCTTCTTCAGTCCAATGTAGTGCAAAAAGTGGAAAATGAGGATTATTATTATATTATAATCAAGGGGGAAGCACTAAACCTATAGGATTATACAGCACCTGTGGGGGGATGTGGAAGGTATTCAGGTTTAATTAAGGGAACTGGAGCACATATCGAATTCCCAAGATCAAGAGCCTCTCACCAGCATCAAGGAACCTTCCTTGAGGGGAAAAATGACGAGTTTGAGGTAATCAGTCCCTCAGTCTATGTTTTCAGCTCATCAATCTGGACTGATGATGACTGATGATGACTGATGGACTGATGATGACTGATGATGAGTGATGATGAACACTGACTCCAGGCTGAGGGACTGATTACCTTAAACTCCTCATCTTCCACCTTCAATATAAGTCACTTTGACTGCCTTTTTTGAGTTATCCCAGGTTGTCTACACATATGTTATGTATGATAATCTATGTAACTGTATATATGTATACCTGAATAAACTTACTTATTCAGGACTGAAGAAATCACTAGCTGGTGAAACGTTTCCAAAATAAATTCTCATAACCAAAACCAAGCGCTAAACCCACTAGGTTCCAGGATAAACCTACCAAAATGATGCACAAGTGTCTCAATAAACCAACTTTTTCGGGTTTATAAACCGTTTATTCACATATATACTTAACGTTTTAATCAGCTTAACCCTCACCTATCAACTAATATATTGTACATAAACCCGCTTATATAAACCTTCTACTCCACTTACAACTAAACTCAAATATTAATGCAACAATAACATTTTATGTCAAAAAAATGTTGAAAATCTCGTGTAAAAATGATATAAATCAAGAGAGAGAGAGAATGAGAACCAACCTGAAGCAGCTGATGTAAACACTGACCTGTGACTCTCTCCTTCATAATGTTAACTATTATTATCAACATTACTAAGTAAGTAAGTGAGTAAGTGAGTGGGTAAGTAAGTAAGTAAGTAAGTGAGTAAGTAAGTAAGTGAGTGAGTAAGTAAGTAAGTAAGTGAGTAAGTAAGTGAGTGGGTAAGTAAGTGAGTAAGTAAGTAAGTGAGTAAGTAAGTAAGTGAGTAAGTAAGTGAGTAAGTAAGTAAGTGAGTAAGTGAGTAAGTGAGTGAGTAAGTGAGTAAGTGAGTAAGTAAGTGAGTAAGTAAGTAAGTAAGTGAGTAAGTAAGTAAGTGAGTAAGTGAGTAAGTAAGTAAGTAAGTGAGTAAGTAAGTAAGTGAGTGAGTAAGTAAGTAAGTAAGTGAGTAAGTAAGTAAGTGAGTAAGTAAGTAAGTGAGTAAGTAAGTAAGTGAGTAAGTAAGTGAGTAAGTAAGTAAGTGAGTGAGTAAGTAAGTAAGTAAGTGAGTAAGTAAGTAAGTGAGTAAGTGAGAAAGTAAGTAAGTGAGTAAGTGAGTAAGTAAGTAAGTGAGTAAGTAAGTAAGTGAGTAAGTAAGTAAGTAAGTGAGTAAGTAAGTAAGTAAGTGAGTGAGTAAGTGAGTAAGTAAGTGAGTGAGTAAGTGAGTAAGTGAGTAAGTAAGTGAGTAAGTAAGTAAGTGAGTAAGTAAGTGAGTAAGTAAGTAAGTAAGTAAGTGAGTAAGTAAGTGAGTAAGTGAGTAAGTAAGTAAGTGAGTAAGTAAGTGAGTAAGTAAGTGAGTAAGTAAGTGAGTAAGTAAGTGAGTAAGTAAGTGAGTAAGTAAGTGAGTAAGTAAGTAAGTAAATAAGTAAGTGAGTAAGTAAGTAAGTAAGTAAGTAAGTAAGTGAGTAAGTAAGTGAGTAAGTAAGTAAGTAAGTAAGTGAGTAAGTAAGTATGTAAGTAAGTAAGTGAGTAAGTAAGTAAGTAAGTAAGTATGTAAGTGAGTAAGTAAGTGAGTGAGTAAGTAAGTATGTAAGTAAGTGAGTAAGTGAGTAAGTGAATAAGTAAGTAAGTAAGTAAGTAAGTAAGTTTATTCAGGAATACACAAACACATATATAGCAGCATATATATACAGAACATTAACCTGAACTGTATTCTAATGTATCTAATTTTTTTTTGTAAATGATTCATTAGAGTATAATATAAATATTCTATTTTAATATATCTAACTTTCTGAAAATTAATCATTAAAATATAATATAAACACTTGATTCTACTGTTTAATTACCTAAGAATAATTTTCATAAATTTATATATACTAATATATATATATATATATAATATATATATATAAATATATATATATATATATATATATATATATATATATATATATATATATATAATATATATATATATAATATATATATATATATATATATATTATGTACATATATAAACATGGACCTCAATGGAGGAAAATTTACACATACATGTAATTGTTATCATCTAAATTTGTATAACTATACTTATATGTACCTGTATGTAAATAAAGTTACTTTCTTAAGTAAATAAGTAAGTATATTTAAGTACAGGTAATCATAAATACAATTGCAGATAGATGTAAGTATTACAGTTATCATACAGAGTAACATTTGTGTACAATTACCCTCCATAATAACCCAAAAATGTCAGATGAAGTGATGCATTTCCATTGTCCTCGTAATATCTTAATATTTAAATTATTAAAAATCTGCTGGTGTTATAGAATATCTGGGGCAGTTAATAGCAGTTCAATAAAACATTTTAATAGATCTAGTTATTATAAACATCGGGGATTTAAAGGCAGTGATTTATTCTTAGTAAGTTCCTACACAATACTTTTTCTTAATGGATTTTTTTACAGAATTTCCAACTTTGTAACGCCACATAATCCTACGGGTTTAGTGCTCCCCCTTGATTATAATAACAAATCCAACTTTGTAAAATAATTACTGACAGATTTCAAAAACGACATAAAATACTTTAACATTATAACTATAAACGACTAATATAAAATATTTGTGTAATGATTTGTATACAAGTAAAACATATCAAGAGGTTTAGTCCCCAGTTTTATAAGAACAAAAAAAAAAATTTTTTTAGTGTAGTTGCGGCGGCCATCTTGGCGGGCGAGTCAAACACAGTGACCTCCTTCAACCTTATTATTCTCTATTATCATTTCTGCTGCGTCCTATATTGAGGTCAGCAGGAGGTAGGGTGAGTGTGTGAGGTCAGCAGAGTGTCAGTAGAGGTGTGAGTGGCTGGGTAGGACCAGTGACACCAGTAATGACACTCAAGGTCGTCTACACTTGCCATAACAACACAAATCTTGTCAATAAATATTTTTTCTAGAAAACTCATAAATTTGATCAGTGAGAGACTTGCGCAGTATTTAAGATATCTTTATTCTGGATACATTTCACCAGCCCCCCCCCCATCTCAGGGGAGGGGCTCTTGATGCTGGTAAGGGGCTCTTGATCCAGGGGAATTGTATCTGTGCTCCAGTTCCCTGAATTAATCCTCATTATCTTCCACACCTTAATCCTACGTGTTAAGCGCTTCCCCCTTTGATTATAATAATTTCTCAAGCCAGTGGCTTCTTCAGTCAAATGGTGGAGGATGAGGAGGAGTTTGAGGTAATAAGTCCCTCAGCCTCGAGTCAGTGTGTTCTGTCATCAGTCTTGATTAATGGACCTGGACACAACACCAGGCTGAGGGACTGATCACCTCAAACTTGTATTTTTTCAAGGACCTTAACAGTGCTGTTTGACCTTTATGGCTTTAGCGCTTATGGTTATAATAATAATCAAGGACCTTAATGGAAATACTTTGACCATTTTTTTTTTAGGCTGTCTTGCGTAATTTACACATACACAGTAAGTCCTCACTAAACGTTGTCAATAGGTTCTTGGGAACTGCGGCTTGAAGCGAAACGGCGTATAACGAAACCAATTTTACCCTAGGCTAATTGATGTAAACATCAGGGGTACACGGTGCACCTTTAGCACTCATTGCAACAGGATTAAATCAAGGAAGAAATGTTTGCAAAGAGAAAACTGTAAGGAGCACCTCCTACCACCATCCAGTTTAATAAGTATGGCGGACTTGCTGAGCACTTTTGTACTGCATTGTTTATTGTGCATTTGTATGATTATCATATGCTTTATGAATTTTATTTTACAATTTGTATTCATACATTTATTCATTATCCAACCTGCTTATTCCAGTTCAGGGCCACGGGTGGCCGGAGCCTATCCCAGCAGCTCGGGGCACAAGGCATGAACCAGCCCTAGACAGGATGCCATTCCATTGCAGGTCACACTTACACATACACTTACACACACACTTACACACACACTTACACACACACACGCGCACACACGCACGCACGCACACACACACACACGCACACACACGCACAACACACACACACACACACACACACACACACACACACAACACACACACACACCCCACACACACACACCCCACACACACACACACACACAACACTGGAGGACAGGAGGGTCAGGGGAGACATGATAACGACATATAAAATACTGCGTGGAATAGACAAGGTGGACAAGGACAGGATGTTCCAGGGAGGGGACACAGAAACAAGAGGCCACAATTGGAAGTTGAAGACACAAATGAGTCAGAGAGATAGTAGGAAGTATTTCTTCAGTCATAGAGTTGTAAGGCAGTGGAATAGCCTAGAAAATGACGTAGTGGAGGCAGGAACCATACACAGTTTTAAGACGAGGTTTGATAAAGCTCATGGAGCGGGGAGAGAGAGGGTCTAGTAGCAACCGGTGAAGAGGCGGGGCCAGGAGCTAGGACTCGACCCCTGCAACCACAAATAGGTGAGTACAAATAGGTGAGTACACACACACACACCACACACCACACACCACACACCACACACACACACCACACACCACACACCACACACCACACACCACACACACACACACCACACACCACACACACACACCACACACCACACACACACACCCCACACACACACACACACACCACACACACACACCCACACACACACACCACACACACACCACACACACACACCACACACACACACCACACACACACACCACACCACCCACACCACACCACCCACACCACACCACCCACACCACCCACCACCACACCACACACACCACACACACCACACACACCACACACCACACACACCACACCACCACACCACCACACACCACAACACACACACACACACACACACACACACACACACACACACACACACACACACACACACACACACACACACACACACACACACACACACACTCACTCACTCATACCAGGACAATTTAGACACACCAATTAACCTAATGTACACACCTTTGGGATGTGGAAGGAAACTGGAGTTATTATTTTTTTTTTATTATCACACTGGCCGATTCCCCCCAAAGCAGGGTGGCCCGAAAAAGAAAAATTTTCACCATCATTCACTCCATCCCTGTCTTGCCAGAAGGGTGCTGTACACTACAGTTTTTAAACTGCAACTGGAGTACCTGGAGAAAACCCACACTAACATGGGAAGAACATGCAAACTTCACACACAGTGGCCCAGGCCGAGAATCAATTTTTTTTTTTCTAATTAACATTTTAACGAAATGACAAGTGAGAACTTGTTATGACCAAGGTCATAATGTGATTAATTTATATGTATTATCCACTTAATATTATACTCTGGGTTTCTTTAATATTAGCTAAATTAAAGATTCCACTAGTTTATAATATTATCTGATTTAGGAATATACCCGGGTATGATGTATATATACATATCTTGAGTAATGTGTTAGGTAGGTACACCTGGCTAAGGTTTATAACAAGGTATCTCCATTGGTGGGTAGTTTGCACCGCTCTACCCTCTCTCCCTTTTGACGAGTTGATGTCATGAAGGAATTTACTGTATATGGCAGTTCACTCTCTCTGCTGACTCAGTGTGCATTGACTGAGCTACCCTCCTAGTACTCCGCCTTATTCTCACTTGGATAGAGAATTGGGTTATAGAAACTCCTGATCCAGCTTGTGGTTTATTGTGAAGTCTGCTGACAATCATATACTGTTATCTTCAGGTTACGATGTGACGACCAGTGTCAAGCTTAGAACTTTGTGATATATTCCTTATGCCAGGGAGTTACTCAGAAAAAGTGTTAATTCTCAATATATGTACTTGCACACAAGTAATGTTACTATTGAGGAAGCGATAATATTCCTCTGATCATTATCAAGTGTAGTGACCATATTGACATGTACATTCTATTTAAGAGTTTTCTTGTGTGAAGGAAAGTTTCTGACATTGATATTTAATAGATATTTATGAATATCTAAAGTATTTAAGCTTTTAAATAAAAAGAAACTGGAAAAGACTGAGTAACTATTATTTGTGCCTTACATTTCTAAGTTTGGAACCATATCTTTTCATTCTTTGAAGTGTGTTGTTACGGAGTGCACTAACCTGGCTAAAGATTAAGATTTGAACCGTAACAGAACTCCATTACTATTTATGATAATTATACTTATTACTTACTGACCCTTTGTGTTAGGTAAAAGAACACACATGCATCTAATAAGAAATTTTATTGTCAGTGTTTGGCTGTCCAGGACTTCCTCGGAAGCCAAACATTGCTATAATAAAATGTCACATTAGTTGCACATGTGTCCTTTTACCAAACACTTCATCAATTCACTTGAATTCATCAAGTGCTTGGTGGGCAAACCATCTTCACAATAAAATGCCATAACCTGCATTGTGTGGCTTATTTACATAGGTTAAGGGTGATTGTGTGGTCATCAATCAGATGGGTAACTGCCTTGATACAGCATCAGTTGTAATTACTGTATTTGCTTACCTTAATAATTTTTCTCAGCACTCCACTGAATGCTGACAGGTTGAATAAGATACACATATGCAATACAAGTACACATCTTTATCGATGAAAAGTTTTGCCTTAACGGCAGGCTTCTTTAGATGAACATAAAACTAGAGACAGTAGATGTATGGTAATTTTGAGGTGATCAGTCCCTTGGTTTAAAGCAGAGGCTTGTCTACCTGCTTCTACTTTAAACTGACACCTCGATCAAGGTTGAGAGACCAGTCATCTCAAAATTACTTTTTATACTGTGTCCAGTGTTATTTTTGCCTGTTTGACTGAAGAAGCTAGCTGCACAGGAAAAACATTAAATCAATGAAGATACCAGTGTTACACATTTGTCTTATTCATTAATCTGTGTTCAGAATATCTTACCTCAAAGTTTTTAAGCATTAAGAACAAATTAAACATGATATTGTAATACCCCACTGTAGGTGGCCAGGCATTAAATACAGTGCTTTCTGTTGAGTTAAAAGTGAATTGTACTGACAGTAATACATTACCTGAGAATAACTGCTGATTGCTGTTGCTTTTCGACATAGTTTTATTGACAAATTATCATTTTATTTGGCATACTGAAATCACTCCATATGAAAGCAAAAGACTTGACAGATGGTTAAAAATACTCCTAATAAAAAAACAGGAGCACAATGACTAAGAGAGAACTCACTAAGTGTAAGAGGACCTCACCTTTTCAGTTCTCTTTGTGCATAAGGAGAATTACCAAGAAGCCTTTGGCTGTCTTCAAGAAGGAACTTGATAAGTTCCTCAAGTCAGTTCCTGATCAACCAGGCTGTGGTGCACGTAAACTGCATGTTGCTGGCACCAATTGCCTGGTTCATTAAGCCAGCAAATGGGAGTAAATAAGCAAGTTTATTTAGGTATAGGTACCCCTGGAATTGACATAAGGTACAAGTTAAAGGTAAGGACTATCCTTAGTATTGCATTTCTGAAGCATTTCAATAATTTTCAGATGATGGAAGATGTTTATATGGAGATAGAAAATTCGACTCCAAGAACTACATTGCAACAACTGTTGGAAGTTCATGATCCAGAGGAAACTCCAGATGTGCTCAAGAATCAACCACTTCGCACACCCTCATCTGCCAAAAAACGAAAACGTGAAGCAAGAAAGAGCAGTGCTGCCAAACAAATTAAAGGTCTGTAGGTTTTCATATTGTCTAAGATTTTTTTTTCACTGATAACATTTTCCAAATATTTATTATTATAATATAGTTGTTGACAGAGTGACCTGCATCTCAGTGGCAAAGCACTTGGTTCACAAGTGAAGGAACCTAACAGTACAATACAGCCTCTCCTCATTTAATGAGTGTCATTCCTAAGACCACATCATTAAATGAATTCGTCGCTAAGTGAGGAGCATACTATAATGGTAGCGAGTTTGTCATCCATCTTTGATATTGTTTTAATGTCACCTTTGCATCATTTATAACTTTTCTGGTATACATGTACTATTTTTAAATGTTTATACAGTAGTGTACTCTATATTGAGATAAACAGAATAGAGGAAATCAGCTCTAATATACATTTTTAGGTATAAATACTGGTCAGAGAGCCTGTCGTAAGTCTGAGGCGTCGGTAAACGAGTACGTCGCTAAATGAGGAGAGGCTGTACTGTAAATGGGTACTGTACCTGGGTATTTGTTAACTATTGTAGGTTGCTTCCTGGTTGAAAATGTTGGACAGCATCTAGATACACAGTACATATATAAAATACATAAGATATTTAACTTTTTTAGGATCCACATCCCTGATCTGATAATTGCTCTCGGGGTCCAAGAATTTAAAATAACGTATTTTTTCTTATAGATTAAAAGAGTACATTTATTAAAGGTAATGAAATGAAAGCAAATTTTTTCCCATCAGTACTTAATGAAATATAGAGGCATTGAAGTTGATAGTAAATGATCCGAAGGGTACAATTTGGCAGCATTCCACTTTGATTATCAAATTGATGGGGATTGGGCTCAAATTTGCATGTTGCTGCCAGTCCCAGATGCAGTGTGTTGGCGAGTACTGGATATTAGTAGCTGGTTGTGGTGTGTGGATGGTTGAGGATGCCCTGGATCGTTGACGTGTTGAGTGAGGGTTGTGACTCCCAGCCTGGGCTGCTGCTGCTGCCGCATCCCACATGGCACTACCACTGTCACCTACTTCTGCATGCAGTCTATTCCATCCCAATTATAACAACTTCATCTTCGCTGTCACTGTCTGTTGCTGGTGTAGGACCATGGGATGTACTCCGTCCCTTTATTCAAGCTGGCTACACTTGTCTATTAAGTAAACAAGTAGACAGTACAGGCAGTTCATCAGGCATTGTGGAATACACCTGCCATCCAACTTACGACCGAGTTCGGTTCCGAGAAACCGGTTGTAAGTCGAAATGGTCGTAAGTCGAACTTTACTACTGAATATCAACAAAACATTTTTGTAATGACTTTATTTTATTGTTTTATTTTGGTATTTCACGTTTTACTTTACTTTTTATGCTGTTTGTACTGTATTTTATACTGTAAGGTTTAGGATAAACACTTTGTACAACACAAATAGTTGTTTATTTCCCAGAAATTTGGCATAAAAAACACGGTCGTAAGTCGAGCAGGTCGTAAGTCGGATGGTAGGTGTATTTATTTTTTCCTTTCTTTGCCATCCCAGTCTACTGTGCACTTTCCTATTGTTTATTCCTCCTCAACTACTTACACCAAATCAATTCTTAAATAACTTAAATAGCTTGAATTTTTATTTATTTATTATCTCTTTCCATATGTATATTTTACACCCATAATTCATTATTGGAAGAATATACTACAGTTTCACATTATTCTTTATTGAATTCCAGATTAACCCTTTCACTGTTAACACCCCCACAAATTAAAAGCTCCTGTGTGAATAAAAAAAAAAGATCTAAAATTATGGCAGTTCACTTTCTGGAGGTAATTACATCAATACTAAATTTGATACAGTACTTGCTGAACTAAGCAGGCAAAGCTGGAGATCTGAGTGCACTTTACATGACAGCAATTTTACTTGCTTTGAGGCCTATTTAGGCCAGTTCCAATGCTCAAACTGACCCTGTTCCCACTTCTTTGTTAGTATGCCCTCATACTACTCATTGATATCAAGATCCTGCCTTTCAATCATCATAACTACCTGATCTCAAGTGCTGAGAAGTCAGTAATTTGGCCAGTTTTACACTTTTTTTTTTTTTTATAATTTTAAAATAGTCCAAAACAAACATGGCAGGCATTCCAGCCGTTAACCCTTTGACTGTCGCGGCCGTATATATACAGTGGACCCCCGCATAACGATCACCTCCGAATGCGACCAATTATGTAAGTGTATTTATGTAAGTGCGTTTGTGCATGTATGTTTGGGGGTCTGAAATGGACAAATCTACTTCACAATATTCCTTATGGGAACAAATTCGGTCAGTACTGGGACCTGAACATACTTCTGGAGTGAAAAAATATCGTTAACCGGGGGTCCACTGTACATTTATGAGGTACCGTGTTTGACGTATATATACTCATAAATTCTAGCGGCTTCAAATCAGGCAGGAGAAAGCTGGTAGGCCCACATGTGAGAGAATGGGTCTGTGTGGTCAGTGTGCACCATATAAATAAAATCCTGGAGCACGCAGTGCATAATGAGAAAAAAAAAAACTCCGACCGTTTTTTTTTTAATTAACCCTTTGAGGGTCGACAGGCCCTCTCCGAAACTCGTTCTCAGGGTCGGCCAAATTTAAAAAAAAAAAAAAATTATTTTCTCTTATGAAAAGATAGAGAATCTTTTCCCGATCATAAAGACACCAAAAGTTTGAAATTTGATAGAAAACTTACGGAATTATGCTCTCGCAAAGTTAGCGGTCTCGGCGATGTTTACGCATCGGCGATTTTGCCCACTTTGAGCCCCATTTTCGGCCAATTTCGCTGTACTAGTCGACAAAAAACATGAATATTTCGCTAGAACTCCATTTTTTCTATCGAATGGGTGCAAGAAACCACTCATTTATGAAATTCAACTATCCAGTACAGTGGTCAGAATTTAGCAATTTTGCTAATTTCACACAAATTTCAAAAGATGCCAATTTCCGAATAGGGTCCAGAATAAACAAGAAAGACATTCCTGGCACTAAAATGACATTTCCTCTAGTCATTAGTCATGTCTCAAGGCCCCTCTTATATTCTTTTGCTTTCCACTTTGAATTTTTATTTTCACAAAAAATATAAGATTTACTGTTATGCAGACTACTGCATTAGTGTAAAAAATGGTATAAATATTATTGGTGCACTTGTGAAAGAATATTAGACTCACCAGTTGACGTGTATTGCACGCTTGGCACGATTTGTTTACTTTTGAAGTTTAGTAAAAATCGAACATTTCTGCTACTTTGAGCTCAATTTCAAGGCACCTTTCTTTGTAAAACCAGTCAAAATCATCTCAATTTCTGTAATATGTCTTCCATTCTATAAAATGATACCAAGAAAACTAGAATATAACAATAAATACTATACGAAAATACACTGCAAAGTCGCTGATTTATTAAAAAAAAATGGTCAAAGTTTTTTTTTTCTCATTATGCACTGTGTGCTGCAGGATTTTTTTTAGACTGTGCACACTGACCACATAGACCCATTCTTTCATATGAAGGCCTACCAGCTTTCTCCCACTAGATTTGAGGGCGCTAGAATTTATGAGTACTAGTACGTCAAAAACCCCTACGCGTAAGACGTACTAGTACGACGAAAACCCTCAAAGGGTTAAAATGCCGACTTCGTGGTCTATTTTCCTATAGTATTTGTGGTTGTATTCTCGTTTTCTTGGTCTCATTTGATAGAACGGAAACTATATTATAGGAATAGAGGTGATTTTTATTAATTTTACTATAAAAAGAACCTGGAAATGGAGCACAAAATACGGGAAATGTTTGATTTTTGCTGTCAGTTTTCCATCAAATTTCGTTTTTTTGGTGTCTCTACAATTGGGAAAAGATTCTCTATCGTTTCATAAGAACTTTTTTTTTTTTTTTTTAATTTTTTTAATTTTTCGACACCAGGAGACACCTCAGGATTGGGGGTTGCGACAGTCAAAGGGTTAAAGCAACCTTTCTCTCTGTTCATTAATCACATCCCCATGCCTCTCCTATATATCACTTGCTTTCCATTTTTCATCACACTCTAACTGACCTTGTTAAAAGTTCCCACTTTAACACAGGCTTTCTCTTTGACTTTTTTAACAAAAGCTAACTTATTGCACTGACTTTGATTTTATTTTACCTTTTGCACTTACCACTGCCCTTGCACACTCGTGAACTTCACTCATTCCTAACCTCCACATATTCCTCCTTATTTCTTGGCTAATAAGCTATGGTCATGATTTAGGCAGTCCCAGTAAGTGAAATAGGCTTAAAATGCATAAAGCAGACCAGGGGTCCCCTTCTGGGGAGGCCTCTTTCCCTTCTCGAAGAATATATCCAAAATTTTACTATTTCTGCCAGTCCAAGGCCTATTTCAGACCACATCCAGTCTGAAACTAACCAGAATCTTCTTGATTTTGTTAGTATGTCTTTCACACTATCTTTTGCCATCACAAAATGGCCAATAGTACCATGAAAACCATTTTGGAAAACATACCAAAGTCACAAATTTAACGCAAACACGAGGTTAGATTATAGCTGTTCCCGTCATGTACTGCATGGGGCAGAATTTATTTTTATACTGTGCACACACTCGCTGCACAGATCCGTTCTCTCAAACTTCATTGCCAAAATTAAGTTTAATAGCTAGAAAAAAGAAAATGTAGGGGTTACTTAGTCTCTAGTTTCCAGCAGTGATTATTTGATTAATGGCATTATCTTTTTCTTTCAGGTAAAGATGTTACAAATCTTCAAACTAACGTTCTCAGTCAGTCACGACAATCTATTAGTACTTCAGTTCTTGGTGAATCTCTCAATGCCAGCAGCATCAGAGGTGTAGACCAGACTTATGCAAATTTAAATATCCTTGAGAGTAGCGAATCGTCCATCAATGAGGACCTTGATCTTGAGAGGGCAGCTAGGTTTCACAAGAGACGGCAGCATCCTTTGAAGAACCTCAGTCAACCAAGGGTATCTGTTGCTAAGTTGAAGAAACCTAAAACTTCCAAGCCAATAACTCGTCAAGATTTAGAGAAGTCTCCCGGGGATCATGGTTCAGTATTAAACACAGCTGAAAATAAGGTTAATATTGAAAATAGGACATATGCTGGTGTTAACACCAGTATGATGGAATCGTCATCAGACAGCATTGATTATGAGGCAGTAAAAAAAATGCGCAGTCGGACCAGGAGAGAAGTCACAGTGTCTCACCAGGGATTAAAAACTACATCCGTCTCTCACAGTTTGCCACCAAGTAAAGCTCCAGATGATGTAAATTTGGAAAATGACATTACATATGCTGGTATCAGCAGTAATATAATGGAATCGTCGGTTGATAGCATAGATTATGGAATAGCCAAGAATGTGCGGTACAGGAAAAAGAAGCAGGACATAGTTCTTGATGAATTTGGTCCAGTGCCTTCTGGTCAAAACTTGCCACTGGGTAGTGACCTTACATACACTGAATCTGTTACAAGTGTATACAGCCCTGAAGACATACAGAGTGGTACAAACAGGGACACTGTCAAGGAGTTGAGATCTCTCAAAACTAATAAAACTGCTTCTCCACAGAAATTGGATTTGTCTCTAGATTCTCGGAGCACTACTTTCTCAGAAGGTTCTGTCTCTAAATTAGATCAAATTTATGAGGTTAGTAATGAGGGAGATGAAAGTCTTGAAAATGTTAGAAAGACAACTAGACAGAGATTTGCTCGAAAGGCCCCAGATTTGAAACTAAATGTGACTGCACTGGTTGAGAAGTTCAAATTAAACCAGAGGTCAGCCTTAAATGCTGAAGAAGCCCCAGAACAGATTGAAGCAGATTTGAAAGCACCATCTTCTCCAACTGAAAATGAATTCTTAGATGAGGAAAAATCAGATTGGCAAGCCTCCCAGGAAATTTCTTTACCCAAGAATGAGGTGACTAGTAAATTCCTGCCTTCAGAGGTGGAAGCAAGCACAATTCCTCAAGTAGAAGGTGTGAAGAGCAGTAGTCATGGCAGGACATCTAATGATAACACAACAGGACTTCAGTCGAAAGAAGTTGTACTTCCCCCTGTTGGTTTTAGAGATGAACGCAATAAATTTCATAAGACATCACTGGGAGATTTTTCGAGTGATAGCGAGGATGATGAACTTGTGAGTAACATAAATGCCACCCTCATTGCCCTTGCTAATGAAAATGAAGAGATCAGTGTAGGTAATAATCAGTATAAATTACAGTTGTCTCCTCTGAATAGTCCTTTGGTCAACCATGGTGTATCTGCCCCATCTTCTCCAACACATGGGCAAGATAGCCCCAGGAACAGGGCTAGAGATAGGTCCACTTTTAAAGGTAGCCCCAGGAAATCACAGCAAAAGAGTGCCACACCATCGCCACTGGAAAGCCCTCAAAAAAGTGTTGAAGCAAATGTTGCCGTGTCTCAAAGGAAAAGCCCTCGAAAAAGTGTTGGAGATTCATCAGCATTACTTTCAAAGAGTCCAAAGCTAAGTGTAAGAGATGATGGCTTGTCAGCTGCAAGACAAAGTCCAAGAAAAGGTTTGGTAAGACGTGTGTTGTCACCTGCAAGGGAAAGTCCAAGGAAAAGTATTAGAAGATCTGCAGTGTCACCTGCAAAGGAAAGTCCAAGGAAAAGTATTAGAAGAGCTACAATGTCACCTGCAAAGGAAAGTCCAAGGAAAAGTATTAGAAGATCTATAGTGTCACCTGCAAAGGAAAGTCCAAGGAAAAGTGTTGGAAGAGGGGCAGTATCACCTGCAAAGGAAAGTCCAAGGAAAAGTATTAGAAGAGCTACAATGTCACCTGCAAAGGAAAGTCCAAGGAAAAGTATTAGAATAGCTACAATGTCATCCTTAAAGGAAAGTTCAAGAAAAAGTGTTGGAGGGGGTGCCGTATCACCTTCAAAGGAAAGTCCACGGAAAAGTATTGGAAGAGCATCAATAGAAATTCCGAGAAAAAGTGTTGGAAGTGGAACAATGTCACCTAAGGAAAGTCCTAGAGAAAGTGTTGAAAGAATTGCACAGTCACCTACAGAGGACAGGACTAGAAGTGTTCATAGGTCTAGCATATCGCCTTCGAAGGACATTCCTCAAAGTGTTCAAAGAACTGCATCATTATCACCTACAAGTGACAGTCCCAGGAGTGCTCTAAATTCACCAAAAAATGTTTCATCTTCATATAGCCCAAGCGATCTTGAGGAGAGAGATATTACCAGATCAGTTAGGAATTCGTTACCTTTTATCCCTGAGAAGAAATCCAGTATGAAAAATATTGTATTGACACAAGAACAGTTTGAAGTGCATCCAGAAGAAGCTTTCAAATTAAAACACAGAATATCAGGAAATTTGGATGGCAGTGCAAATGCATTGTTAGATAAGGATGATATGAGGTCTTCCATAATACCCAAGGATAAGGCAATAGTTATGCAGGAACAATTAGTGCTTAGAGATGAAGATATTCCTACAGATATTATGATGACCAAAGTCAGGGAAAATGTTGCTACATATTCTTCAAATGTAACTGCTAAAAGTAATGAGCATGTTCCTGTACGTGAGGAACTTCTAGTTGAGGATAATTCACATGCTCGTGAAGTTTCAGCCAATAAAGGGAAAGACAATACCGGAATGCAGAGGAATATATCAAGTAAACATATTGTACAGTATGACGATAGCTCGAGTGAGGGTGAGGTTATCTATCGTTTCACCCAAGATAATGCGCGTATTAAGGAAAAGGAATCTCTTCCTGAAGATATTTCCACTTCAGAAGATTCTGGAAGTGATGACTTAAACTTGCTTCCAGTGACAGAGAGGAAAATTGTTCGTCTGCAGCAAGGTAGCCCAGTAGATGCTGATAAAAAAAGGTCTGAAGCTGAAGTAACAGCCTACCATTTGAATGTTGAAGAGCAGGTTGAGGATGAGGGTTCAGACAGCAATTCAAGCAACCAAGAGCTGGGTGCAGGTACATCACAGCAACACAGGAATAATTCTAGATCTGGAATCCAATCTAAAAGCTTAGTATCATCCAAAGGAAGGCAGATGACCATGAAAGAATTTATACAGAATCTGGCAGTTAAGCCAATGCCACCACCAGCAGTAGCAGATATGGAAAAAGAGAGATCCACACTGGCTGGCCTCCTTAAATTTAACACTTCTAGGGTGCAGAAACTGCCCCAGCAAACTGCGGCTGCCAAGAAGATCAGAAAGAAGAGCAAGCAGTCATTGCCTGCATCATTGCCCAAGAGTGTCACAAAAGAAATTTTTTCTCATTTTGCAAAGTGCAAAGTAACTGAAGGTGCCATGAAAGCTATAATGAAAACCAGTGAAGAGTACTGGAAAAATTTGTCCACCGATCTCTCAAATATAGTGAATGCCAGAAAGGGAGGAGATGAAATTCTTGGCCGTGATGTGAGGAAGCTTATGACCAGACAGGGCCTCATCACCACAGAAGAGTCTCTGTTTGCTCTGGCAGAGAAATATTTGCCAGCAGAAGAATGGAACACTATCATTCCTACAGAGTATGCAAAGGGTAATGTGCATCCTCCTGAGAAGGTTATTCAAGATATGTTTATGTGAGCTCCTGTACTTCTTAATTTACACCAAAATATATTGAACATGTAAAATAAAGATCCCATTTACGTTTAAGAGTTCACAGATTATATTTGTACAACATAGTTTTTAAGTTTTGTACCAGACTGAAAAATAGGAATAGCCTTTCTAACCTCTGAAAATATAATTCTTCTCTCTGTTATAATACATATATTGTAGATGAATGGTTCAGAGAACCAACACGTTGAAAAATTAGACACGTGCAACTCTTCATCAGTCCATGAAGACACTGTGTGGCAAAAAGTTTCCTCAATAAAGATACCCAAGAGTTGCACATGATTGTTTAACAAGGTTGGGTTTATTTTCTGTGAATATGATCATAATACCAGGATATAAAGTTTGGTACTTTTATTATTGTATTATAAAACCTATTTTGTTACTAAGGATTTTTTTTATTATATTACCACTTCAAAAATTGTTTTCCCCATTGTTTGTTTTCTGTTTTGTTTACCTTCAGCTTAACTGTTTTTGACTGGAACGTGTTTTTCAGGTTTACACTTATTGCTGAGGCCAGTCTACACTTCAAGCTGCCCTTTCCTTGGATCAAACCTGATTATTACTTCCAATTCCCAGGGTACTGTATTACTGTTTCCCTTTAAGGAAGGTCCTTGATATCAGTGAGGGGAAGGCTTCTGATCCAAAAAGTTGGGGCTGACTTTCCCTTGGATCAAATCTGATTCCCTCCCATTCCCCAAAACATCACATGACCACCAGCATTCAACCCCTATGGGTTTAATGCTTCCTCATGAACCCAGTGGTAATCTACAGTAATTGCTCCCTGCAAGAGTGGTTCCTTGATGCCAGTGAGGTGCTCTTGATCAAAGGATTGAAATTGAATGCCTTCCATTCCCCTAGATATTTTATGATCACTGCTTGTTTAGTGCTCTCATTTTCCATTAAAAATGAGCTATTGATCTGAAGGCCATATGACCCTTGTGGGTTTAGCACTTAGTTATGATTATAATACTGATCTGAGGAATTTGATGTATTGTCCTCTGGATCAAATCCAAATACCTCTCCAACCCTTCTACCTTATTAGTGAGGAAATTTCCTCACTTGTAAAGTGCAGCTTCCCTCAAGGAAGGTTCCTTGATGCTGGTGAGGGGCTCTTAATTCAAGGAGTTTGATCATATATATCTCATCCATGCTCTGTATGTTTGTAATCGTTTTAGACTAGTGTTAAGAGCTATTCAGAAATAACCCATCCAGGGAAGTTCCTTGACACTGCTGGGGGCTCTTGATCTAGGGAATTGGATCTGTGCTTGTTGCCTGAATTGAGCCTGAACGCCTTCCATGTCCCCCACTACAGGTGCTGTATGATCCTACTGTTTTAGAACTCCCCATGATTATAATAATATTGCTGTATAGCCCTTGTGGCTTAGCGCTTCTTTTTGATTATAACAATAATATTAAGAAATAAGATTACCTACATCCCATTGTACTCCATATACCACAATGATTGTGACAAATTTCTAGCAAGCACGAAGTTTTTTGCTGGGTCCCTGGACACTGATGTTCAAGGAAACAAACGTGCAGACTCGTCTGCTATTTATGATCTACCATTTTCCCACAAGGGATTCCCTTTTTTTCAAACTGTTTTCTAGCGCTGTTCCAGAGATACCACATGGAGAGGCTCCCAACACACTTCTGCAAGGACTGCCATATAGCACTGACAGTTAACCATATATTAATGCTGTCCTATTTATCAGAGCACAAAGAATTCACTTTAGACATCCATAGTGCCTGAACTTTCACACACTACCTGACCTTGCCAAAAGTCTCACCTTCAATGTAGACTTTTTGACAGACTAATTTACTACATCAGTTTTGATATTAATTTCGTACCCTCACCTACTCTGGCCCCCTTTAACCACTGCTCCCACCTTCACAAACCTCTACTCTGACTCACACCTTGAGTTTAGTGTGTGATTTTTATATTACTGTATCAAGGAATTGAACCTGACCTACCCTTCATTACATCAGACCCATTTCCTAGGTGCTGTGACCCCTATTAGTTTAGTGCTTTCATTTTATTAAAAAAAATAGCACTTGGGCAGGAAAAAGTAGCCACTTACAGCCCTGTTCTACAGTAGCTTATGTTCATAGCAATGGTAGCAGTAGTAATAGTAACAAGGTAATAACAATGGTAGAAGTATCAAAAGAAAATGTAGTGGTTAAAGAATTAACAATTGTACATAATAAGAAAAAGCAGGATTAGTGATTAACAAGAGTAAATTGTCTCTCAAGGCAGTGTAGATCATATTATGAAGATTGAGACACTTATGCAGCATATGGGAATCTTGATTCAGGAAACGTTTCGCCACACAGTGGCTTCATCAGTCCAATACAAAGAGGAAGGCGTAAGGAGAGGAGGGGAATGAGGTAATCAGTCCCTCAACCTGGAGTCGATGTGTTCAGTCCATCAATCTTGTAGAATGTACAGCATAAGTGTCTCAATCTTCAACTTGTCGGTTTTTCAAACCATTCATCACAACTGTCAGACACTGCAGCATCATGGGATCTTGTTACAAAGAATTCTTCAACACTTGTTCAACCTTTGGACGAAGACCTACTTCGACTAGTGGATGGTACCACTATGACCCCGCCTCCGCCTGCTTCACCTCACCTCACTACAGTATATAAGCCACGTCTACGGCCCTATGCTGTACATTCTACAAGATTGATGGACTGAACACATCGACTCCAGGTTGAGGGACTGATTACCTCATTCTCCTCCTCTCCTTACGCCTTCCTCTTCGTATTGGACTGATGAAGGCACTGTCTGGCGAAACGTTTCCTGAATAAAGATTCCCATATGCTGCATAAGTGTCTCAATCTTCAACTTGTCGGTTTTTCAAACCATTCATAACACAGATCATATAATGTTATCGTACTCTTGTGCCCGGGGAGGCGGAGACACTTAAGTAGGTTTACTGACCTATACTGTTCAAATGGAAGGAAGAGAAAAATGAGAAGACAGGTAGGGTAGGTGTAGAGGAAAGAGGAGATGGCAAATGTGAGGTCAAGTCACAAGTGTTCTGAAGATTGGAGCATTTGACAATGTACTGAGAAAGTGAATCATCTACAGAAACAAAGCCAGTACAGTGGACCCCCGCATACCGTACAATCCGCATACCGCTTGCTTTTTTTGCAAAAATTTTGCCTCACATACCGCCCAAAAACCCGCTCACCGCTCTTCATCCGAGACGCATCCAATGTGCGCCCTTAGCCAGCCTCACATGTGCCGCCGGTGGCATTGTTTACCAGCCAGCCTCCGCGGTAACATCCAAGCATACAATCGGAACATTTCGTATTATTACAGTGTTTTCGGTGATTTATCTGGAAAATAAGTGACCATGGGCCCCAAGAAAGCTTCTAGTGCCAACCCTATAGGAATAAGGGTGAGAATTACTATAGAGATGAAGAAAGAGATCATTGATAAGTATGAAAGTGGAGTGCGTGTCTCCGAGCTGGCCAGGTTGTACAAGAAACCCAAATCAACCATCGCTACTATTGTGGGCAACAGAAAGGCAATCAAGGAAGCTGTTCTTGCCAAAGGTTTAACTGTGTTTTCGAAACAGAGATCGCAAGTGATGGAAGATGTTGAGAGACTCTTATTGGTGTGGATAAATGAAAAACAGGTAGCAGGAGATAGCGTCTCTCAAGCGATTATAAGCGAAAAGGCTAGGAAGTTGCATGAGGATTTAATTAAAAAAATGCCTGCAACTAGTGATGATGTGAGTGAATTTAAGGCCAGCAAAGGTTGGTTTGAGAGATTTAAGAAGCGTAGTGGCATACATAGTGTGATAAGGCATGGTGAGTCTGCCAGTTCGGACCACAAAGCAGCTGAAAAATATGTGCAGGAATTCAAGGAGTACATAGACAGTGAAGGACTGAAACCTGAACAAGTGTTTAATTGTGATGAAACAGGCCTGTTCTGGAAGAAAATGCCAAGCAGAACCTACATTACTCAGGAGGAAAAGGCACTCCCAGGACATAAGCCTATGAAAGACAGGCTTACTTTGTTGATGTGTTCCAATGCTAGTGGTGATTGCAAAGTGAAGCCTTTATTAGTGTATCACTCTGAAACTCCCAGACCGTTCAGGCAAAAGAATGTCCTCAAGGAGAATTTGTGTGTGCTGTGGAGGGCAAACAGTAAGGCATGGGTCACTAGGGACTTTTTCTATGATTGGTTACACCATGCATTTGCCCCCAATGTGAAAGATTACCTAACTGAAAAGAAATTAGAACTTAAGTGCCTCCTGGTGTTAGACAATGCCCCTGGTCATTCTACAGACGTGGCAGAGCGACTTTATGGGGACATGAAATTCATTAAGGTGAAGTTTTTGCCTCCTAATACCACTCCTCTCCTGCAGCCCATGGACCAGCAGGTTATTGCAAACTTCAAAAAACTGTACACAAAAGCTCTGTTTGAAAGGTGCTTTGTAGTGACCTCAGAAACTCAACTGACTCTAAGAGAGTTTTGGAGAGAGCACTTTAATATCATCAATTGTGTAAACCTTATAGGTAAGGCTTGGGAGGGAGTGACTAAGAAGACCTTGAACTCTGCTTGGAAGAAACTGTGGCCAGAATGTGTAGACAAAAGGATTTTGAAGGGTTTGAGGCTAACCTGAGAGGATTATGCCAGTTGAGGAATCCATTGTGGCATTGGGAAAGTCCTTGGGTTGGAGGTTAGTGGGGATGATATGGAGAGTTGGGGGAGGAGGACAATGAAGAACTAACCACTGATGAGCTGATAGATCAACTTCAACAGCAAGAGGCCAGACCTGAGGAAACTGGTTCAGAGGAGGGGAGAGAGAAATTGAAGAAGTTGCCTACTACAAAGATTAAGGAAATCTGTGCAAAGTGGCTTGAAGTGCAAACCTTCATGGATGAAAATCACCCTCACACAGCTATTGCAAGCCGTGTTGGTGATTATTACACTGACAATGTTGTGAAACACTTTAGGGAAGTCATAAAGGAACGAGAGGTACAGGCCACTATGGACAGATTATGTTGTGCGAAAGAAGTCCAGTGACTCTGAAGCTGGTCCTAGTGGCATTAAAAGAAGAAGGGAAGTAACCCCAGAAAAGGACTCAACACCTCAAGTCTTAATGGAAGGGGATTCCCCTTCTAAACACTAACACTCTCTCTCATCTCCTCCCATCCCATCAATCATCACCAGATCTTCAATAAAAGTAAGTGTCATGTAATTGTGCATGCCTTTTTCAGTTTGTGTGTATTAAAATTAACATTTCATGTGGTAAAATTTTTTTTTTCATACTTTTGGGTGTCTTGCACGGATTAATTTGATTTCCATTATTTCTTATGGGGAAAATTCATTCGCATACCGAACATTTCGCATAACAACCAGCCCTCTTGCACGGATTAAAGTCGCTATGCGGGGGTCCACTGTACTAATATTAATGTTAGGAATGCTGTATATAAAGGCTAATTCAAAATGGCTTCTGTGAAAGCTAGATGGGTTTACAATTTTAGCAGAAGATGCAGCGCTGTATAAACGTGATGGGTTTAGCGCTTTTGATAATAATAATAATAATTTAGCCTGGTGGCTAAAGTTCCCGCTTCACACACGGAGGGCTCGGGTTCGATTCCTGGCGGGTGGAAACACTTTGACGCGTTTCCTTACACCTGTTGTCCTGTTCACCTAGCAGCAAATAGGTACCTGGGTGTTAGTCGACTGGTGTGGGTCGCATCCTGGGGGACAAGTTTGAGGACTCCAATGGAAATAAGTTAGACAGTCCTCGATGATGCACTGGCTTTCTTGGGTTATCCTGGGTGGCTAACCCTCTGGGGTTAAAAATCCGAACGAAATCTTATCTCTTAAGACCAGTTAACAGGATTCCTGTGATTTCTAATATGACAGAAAAGAACATTGTTGGGGTTAGCAAGACCAACACTGATGTGCTCTCTAAGTCTGTGAGAATAATGGAGTGGACACTAGAAGCATTAGCGACATATCCTTCACTTTTACAGATATCATTCACTTTCATACACATCTTTCACTTTCATACACATATTTTCAATTTCATACACATCTTTCACCTGCATACGCATATCTTTCACTTTCACACACACATACTTTTCACTTTCACACACATATCCTTCACTTTCACACACATACCTTTCACTTTCACATCTTTCACTTTTATACACATCTTCACTTTCATACACATATCCTTCACTCATACACACACATATCCTTCACTTTCACACACATACCCTTCACTTTCACACATATCTTTCACTTTCATACATCCTTCACTTTCATACACATCCTTCACTTTCACACACATATCCTTCACTTTAACACATCCTTCACTTTCACACACATATCCTTCACTTTAACACATCCTTCACTTTCACACACATATCCTTCACTTTCACACACATATCCCTCACTTTCACACATATCCTTCACTTTCACACATCCTTCACTTTCACACACATATCCTTCACTCACATATCCTTCACTTTCACACACATATCCTTCACTTTCACACATCCTTCACTTTCACACATATCCTTCACTTTCACATACATATCCTTCACTCTCACACACATATCCCTCACTTTCACACATCCTTCACTTTCACACACACATCCTTCACTTTCACACACATATCTACTGGGAGCGCTTGAGGTTCCTAAACCTGTATTCCCTGGAACGCAGGAGGGAGAGATACATGATTATATACACCTGGAAAATCCTAGAGGGACTAGTACCGAACTTGCACACGAAAATCACTCACTACGAAAGCAAAAGACTTGGCAGACGATGCAACATCCCCCCAATGAAAAGCAGGGGTGTCACTAGCACGTTAAGAGACCATACAATAAGTGTCAGGGGCCCGAGACTGTTCAACTGCCTCCCAGCACACATAAGGGGGATTACCAACAGACCCCTGGCAGTCTTCAAGCTGGCACTGGACAAGCACCTAAAGTCAGTTCCTGATCAGCCGGGCTGTGGCTCGTACGTTGGTTTGCGTGCAGCCAGCAGCAACAGCCTGGTTGATCAGGCTCGGATCCACCAGGAGGCCTGGTCACAGACCGGGCCGAAGGGGCGTTGACCCCCGGAACTCTCTCCAGGTAAACTCCAGGTATCCTTCACTTTCACACACATCCTTCACTTTCACACATATCCCTCACTTTCACACACATCTCTGTCACTTTCACACATATCCTTCACTTTCACACATATCCTTCACTTTCACACACATATCCTTCACTTTCACACATATCCCTCACTTTCATACACATCTTTCACCTTCACACACATCCGTCACTTTCACATATCCTTCACTTTCACACATTCTTCACTTTTACACATATCCTTCACTTTCACACATATTTACCTGGAGTTTACTTGGAGAGAGTTCCGGGGGTCAACGCCCCCGCGGCCCGGTCTGTGACCAGGCCTCCTGGTGGATCAGAGCCTGATCAACCAGGCTGTTGCTGCTGGCTGCACGCAAACCAACGTACGAGCCACAGCCCGGCTGGTCAGGAACCGACTTTAAGTGCTTGTCCAGTGCCAGCTTGAAGACTGCCAGGGGTCTTAGGTTAGGTAAGGTTCGTCAGGAAACAGGACAAATGTTTCCTGACGCGGGTCTTAGTCAGATGATGACCCGCCTTTGGAGCTTTTGGTCATCTGACCGAGGCCTTCCGCTGGCTTACCGGTCCACCCCTTTAAAAATTATGGTCATTTATAACCATTGTTATATATTATTTGACAGTCTTATGATGCTGCCAGGGGTCTGGTGGTAATCCCCCTTATGTATGCTGGGAGGCAGTTGAACAGTCTTGGGCCCCTGACACTTATTGTATGGTCTTTTAACGTACTAGTGACACCCCTGCTTTTCATTGGTGGGATGTTGCATCGTCTGCCAAGTCTTTTGCTTTCGTAGTGAGTGATTTTCGTGTGCAAGTTCGGTACTAGTCCCTCTAGGATTTTCCAGGTGTATATAATCATGTATCTCTCCCGCCTGCGTTCCAGGGAATACAGGTTTAGGAACCTCAAGCGCTCCCAGTAATTGAGATGTTTTATCTCCGTTATGCGCGCCGTGAATGTTCTCTGTACATTTTCTAGGTCAGCAATTTCACCTGCCTTGAAAGGTGCTGTCAGTGTGCAGCAATATTCCAGTCTAGATAGGACAAGTGACCTGAAGAGTGTCATCATGGGCTTGGCCTCCCTAGTTTTGAAGGTTCTCATTATCCTTCACTTTCACACACATATCCCTCACTTTCATACACATATCTTTCACTTTCACATATCCGTCACTTTCACGCATATCTTTCACTTTCACACATCTGTCACTTTCACATATTCACTTTCACACATATCCTTCACTTTCACACATACCCTTCACTTTCACACACATATCCTTCACTTTCACACACATATCCCTCACTTTCACACACATACCCTTCACTTTCACATTGACTTATTGTAATGTATATAATCCAGTAAAGTCAAAATAACCTGACATATATTCAAGGTTAATTTACATGTAAAGGAAGTGTATCAGCCTTCATGGGAAGTACCTTGACACCGGTGAAGAGCTCTCGATCCAGGGAGTTGGCGCTACCCTACACTCCCATTGATGAGACCTGATGACCTCCCATTCTCCAGGCGATGTATGACCCCCGACGGGTTTAGCGCTCCCTCGTTAATGTAATTTTAATAATTTAATATTTTGGTCTGAAAGCTCCTCAATTGTCAATATGTTGAGGTATATTATTTACTTCGTTTTGTGTTATATATAGCCAGATAGAGGCTTTTATAATAGAGGAAACAAGGAGAGACTAAGAAAGTGAAATTTGAGCAGAGAAACACATTACTAGGCAACATTACGAGTCCCTGGCCGGTGGCGAGTGTCGCTTCACACGGTGTGGGTCCGGGTTCGATACCCAGCGAAGGGGTGGAAACATTAAACGTGTTTCCTTACACGGGTTGTCTATGCTCACCCATCAGTAAAATGGGTACCTGGGTGTTAGTGGACTGGTGTGGGTCGCATCCTGGGTCTTAGTGGACTGGTGTGGGTCGCATCCTGGGTCTTAGTGGACTGGTGTGGGTCGCATCTGGGTCTTAGTGGACTGGTGTGGGTCGCATCTGGGTCTTAGTGGACTGGTGGAGGTCGCATCCTAGGTCTTAGTGACTGGTGTGGGTCGCATCTGGGTCTGTGGACTGGTGTGGTCGCATCCTGGGTCTTAGTGGACTGGTGTGGGTCGCATCCTGGGTCTTAGTGGACTGGTGTGGTCGATCCTGGGTCTTAGTGGACTGGTGTGGGTCGCATCCTGGGTCTTAGTGGACTGGTGTGGGTCGCATCCTGGGTCTTAGTGGACTGGTGTGGGTCGCATCCTGGGTCTTAGTGGACTGGTGTGGGTCGCATCCTGGGTCTTAGTGGACTGGTGTGGGTCGCATCCTGGGTCTTAGTGGACTGGTGTGGGTCGCATCCTGGGACAAAACTGACCTAATTTACCCGAAATGCTCTGATAACAAACCCCTCAAGGAAGGTTCCTCGATGTTGGTGAGGGGCTCTTGATTTAGGGAATTGGATCTGTGCTCCAGTTCCCCGAATTAAGCCTGAATGCCTTCCACATCCCCCCCCCGGCGCTGTATAATCCTCCGGGTTTAGCGCTTCCCCCTTGATTATAATAATAATCTGATAACAAGCGGCTTTCTATATAGCATTATATCATTGATGTCAACTATGGCCTGTATACCCTGTACATGTACTTGTAGTAAATAAAGATATAAGTTTACTTAGGGAAAAGTATACTAAGTACAATTATCATACACAGTGTAAATTACTCTTCAGGATAACCCAAAATAAATCACAGCGACTTATATCCAGTGGGATCCTTGTATTAAACTATTACGAAGAAAATCTATAACGTTACACAGAACATTGATGAGTTCTCTTTGTAGTGGTCAACTGTCTTATAAACGAAGGAATTGTTAAAAAATAATAAAAGATAATTATTGTTGGGTGAGTGTGGCAACTGAGGTGAAGAAGCTGAAGTTGACTGAGAGAAAGTTGCCTCAGTCACCCTCCAGACGTTGATAAAGGTGCTACACGTTATTTCTCTCCCTGGAACCTAAACCATGTCTCAATATACCATATATTCTTCTGCAGTGGGAGTATAACATGTCATGTGGCAGAAGGAACAACGTGAGTTAGTGTGAGGCGCCAGCCTGGGTGTGGTACAATGTGGACAGTGTGGCTGTTACTGCTGCTGGCTGGCATAACACCTGCCCAAGGTAACTATATATCCTCTTAGTACTAACCTCTTAATTCTTCACCAGCTAACAGTAATTGTTCATGAACTGAGTAATTGTTCACAGGCTGGGAGTAACTTCACGACTTGGGGGATATTTGTTCACTGGGAGTAAATGTTCATAACAGCAATTGTTCACGAACTAGAAATAAATATTCATGAACTAGAATTGTTCACGAACAGTATTTGTTCACAAACCAATTTCAAACTAATTGTTCACAAATTGGGAGTATTTTTTTCACAAATACATTTCGCGTACAATGGAGAAATTGCTTAGAATTGTTCAGTCTTTGTCCAGCTTATTCACTTTTGCAGAAGCTTGAAAATTGTTCTGCAAGTGTTCATAAGAACGGTAATTGTTCACCCAACGTTAAGATAAGTTCAGTAGTATTTCACCGTCGCTTCAGGACCTGACTTATATTGGAAAATTTTCGTATCTTAGAACAGGGAAACTTCGTGTATGTTCAATATATATGCGCTAAACCCATATGGGTCACACAGCACCGGGGATTGGGCGGTAATCGTGTGTAATCCGAGGAAGAAGGTAGCTCCAGTTCATCACATCAAGAGCCCTTCACTAGCATCAGGGAAGCCAAGTTGTCTCAAAGCTGATATTGAACATCTGAGAGAGGAGATTAATGTCATTAAATGTAATTGTACATAAGAGTGTCGAAACTTGAGATAATTCAACACAATGTAATTGGCTGTCCAACAAGTGTAATTGTTCATCTCAAGTGACTTCCTCCAATGGGTGAAATATAATGGGTTCTCTCCTATAAGTTTTCGTAGCATTCCTTATCTTTCAGCCATTATTCCACATCAAACCTGTCCCATGAACCTTAGAAATACATCAGCGGCCTTCTCATGGCTAACACACATTAAACGACCTTCAGAAACTTGAACAATAAATCTTTTAGAATCATATATTCCACTTATGTAAGATCATCCTGAAGACGTTAGTCAGTCACCATTCACTGAGGTAGCTTGATGCTGGTGAGAGGCTCTTGATCCAAGGAACCGAACTAACCCCCAGGATCAAATCTGAGTACCTCATTTCCAGGGCACATTTGACCCCTACGGCTTTATCGCTTCCTGGTTAATATAAAATTAATCTGCATCAAGCCTGCTGAGGACTAACTAGAGCCTAGTTACCTCTACTTCTGTTTAGATAACCTAAGTAAGGATAGCTTATCAGAAGGGGATCTCGGTCAGTCTTCGAGTATGCAGCACCACTGGTGCATCCCTCACCAAGCCAGGCACATGAAGAGAAAGTTTAGAAGAGATTTTCCACTAGACTGGCACCTGAGTGGAGGGGTAGGAGCTATGGGGAGACTTGAGTTAGTTCTGATTCATGAAGGAGACTGAGTTCTGATTCATGGAGGAGACTGCGTTCTGATTCATGGAGGAGACTGAGTTCTGATTCATGGAGGAGACTGAGTTCTGATTCATGGAGGAGACTGAGTTCTGATTCATGAGAGGAGACTGAGTTCTGATTCATGGGAGAGAGACTGAGAGTTCTGATTCATAGAGGAGACTGAGTTCTGCTTCATGGAGGAGACTGAGTTCTGATTCATAGAGGAGACTGAGTTCTGATTCATGGAGGAGACTGAGTTCTGATTCATGGAGGAGACCGAGTTCTGATTCATGGAGGAGACTGAGTTCTGATTCATGGAGGACGAGTTCTGATTCATGGAGGAGACCGAGTTCTGATTCATGGAGGAGGCCGAGTTCTGATTCATGGAGGAGACTGGGTTCTGATTCATGGAGGAGGCTGAGTTCTGATTCATGGAGGAGGCTGAGTTCTGATTCATGGAGGAGGCTGAGTTCTGATTCATGGAGTAGACCGAGTTCTGATTCATGGAGGAGACTGGGTTCTGATTCATGGAGGAGGCTGAGTTCTGATTCATGGAGGAGGCTGAGTTCTGATTCATGGAGGAGACTGGGTTCTGATTCATGGAGGAGGCTGAGTTCTGATTCATAGAGGAGACTGGGTTCTGATTCATGGAGGAGGCTGAGTTCTGATTCATGGAGGAGGCTGAGTTCTGATTCATGGAGGAGACTGGGTTCTGATTCATGGAGGAGGCTGAGTTCTGATTCATGGAGGAGACTTGGTTCTGATTCATGGAGGAGGCTGAGTTCTGATTCATGGAGGAGACTGGGTTCTGATTCATGGAGGAGGCTGAGTTCTGATTCATGGAGGAGGCTGAGTTCTGATTCATGGAGGAGACTGGGTTCTGATTCATGGAGGAGGCTGAGTTCTGATTCATGGAGGAGACTGGGTTCTGATTCATGGGGGAGGCTGAGTTCTGATTCATGGAGGAGACTGAGTTCTGATTCATGGAGGAGACTGAGTTCTGATTCATGGAGGAGACTGGGTTCTGATTCATGGAGGAGACTGGGTTCTGATTCATGGAGGAGGCTGAGTTCTGATTCATGGAGGAGGCTGAGTTCTGATTCATGGAGGAGACTGGGTTCTGATTCATGGAGGAGGCTGAGTTCTGATTCATGGAGGAGGCTGAGTTCTGATTCATGGAGGAGACAAGACAGGATTGCAAAATATAAAGTACTTCCAGAAAGACCAGACAGATAAGATAGAGTAACAGGATGGACCATGAAAGAACACAGACACTTGATATCCAAATCAACCCATGAAACACCAGACAGCTTTTACAGTTACAAGATAGTGAAGAAGGGGATGAGCTAAGAAATGTAGAGGTTAACTTCTTACGTGCGCTCTAAAATATAGCACATAAATCACGTCTATCAACTGAAAAATCGAAATGAGCCATTTAAAAGTATCAGATCACATCTGTGTCGGCGTTGAAATCTCTCTCCGTGAATAATTATATGCAGAACAGTGTTGAAAATAACTTGTTTCTTACAGATTTTTATATTAACCCTAATAAATAAAAGTAGGAGATGAATTCTTGACAAGAATGATTAGAAGCAGAACAGATAAATCATGTGCATTTTGTCAGGATATATGAAAAAATTTCTCCCGATGCGGGTGTTACTCTTGTGATCCATGGTTCATTATGAAGCTTTTATGTAACTACACTGACGCCTCTCCCTGACTTGACGCTCCACACAGTAAACTAATAACCATCATATCATCACTACTGCCATCTGTAAATATTTTTTCCAGAAAAATAATGAGATATAGTTCTGCAAATTCTAATATGTATTAGGTTTATTAAACTGTTCAGCTTTATCTAAACGAAGGAGAAGTTAGCTCCAATTCTTTGAAGGTTTTGCTAATATCAAGGCACCCTCTTAAAGGTTAGGTATATATAGTATATGATGTGAACTAGAAATATATAGACCAGGATATGGCAAGAAACTATGGAAATTATAGAAAGTCGTGAAAAGGCATGAAATTAATTTAGAAAAGTCTTAGCCTTTAGACCTATTAGATATTCAGATAAAACAAACTAAAATACAGACATGAGAGAAATAAAACAATTTTTTCAACAATACCAAAAAAGAGAAAGTTAAGAGCCCAAGTTAGTACTCTAATTAATATATAAATATTGTACAAAATCTATATTGTACAAAATCTTAAGTTTTGAAATAAAATTACTAAATTAAGGGATACGTGTGTGTAATACTAAATGAAAAGTTCAGAATATCCACGGAAGAAGAGGATTTTAATGAACCAGAATACTGCTTACGAAACCTAAACACAACTTTCCCACGAATAACGGATACCACATGGAAAGACGCCAAACGCCTCTGCCAAGGCTGCCAAGTCGAGCTCTCTCATCACCATGTTATAATGAGAGTGCTATATATCAGAGAGCATGTAGAGTTCACTTTCCACATCTGCAACGCCCTGACATGCTCGATCTAACTCTCCCCTTCCTCCTTCCCTCGCAAAAGATTCCACATTTCCTTGCAGAAAGTCCCACCTTCAACACAGACTTAATCTGGCGTTTTAAAAGCAGCTAACCTATTACACTAACTTTGACATACTTATGAAACCCATATGAAACAGCCCATTGTAGTAACGAGAAAAGAAAGGATAACAAGAGACTACATGATACCAGTGTAAGTATAAATGGATATGACAAAAAGCTAACAGACGATTTTTTAATTAGCGACGGGGAGAAGAAGATTCTAAAGTTAAAAAAAATACTTAAAAATAAGATGAAGCAGAGAGCTACTTTTAAAATATGACTGTACTGTGCTTCATGAGAAGGTACAAGTGCGACAATCACTGACATTAAAAGAATGTTTGGAGGAAGTTCAGAGGCTGCAAATAGGCTGGTCCCATATCAGAGAGAAACTAGTCTGTTATGACAGCTAAACATGTCTGGCAGAGACCTTATTAATGACAATTGAAAGAGGCTGTATACTCATGTGTTCAGAACTTTCCTTTCTTGAATCAATCAAAAACCTTTCGCACTGTAATATATTTTATTTTTGAAGGATATTATTACCGTACGGGTATAGCTTTGGTTTTTAAATTAATATTAATAAAAGCATCACAAATTCCAGAACAAAAAAAAATATTAAAATTCTCAATTGTAGCAGTTAGATTTTGTGTTATAATTCATTAGCCATTTTTTCCACATTTTTAAAAAATAAACGACTCAAATTCTTTTGTATAATTATATAATAGTTTTACGTGCAGCAAAATTCTGAAGGGTAACTTTTTCAGTTGTGCTTCACTTATGTTGTCAACTCCTTTCATTCTTCTTTTTTTTTTTTTTTTTTTTTTTAATTTACTACTGAGGTGGTAATATGCGTCAGGCAGCACTGCAGAGATCACTGTCCTTTTTCACGTTAAAATTGTCGTGCCGCACTGCCACTAACGTATTGTACTTCATTTATCGTATTCGCTTATTTTATTCTTTATTTTGGCTCACTAAGATATTATTGTGATCTTCCTTGCTTCCTCACGTTACTTTATGGTTCATCAAAGTGTCTACACAGTTTGTTGTTCTTGATTACTTCACATACTGTTAATCCCGACTTGTTAAT